GTTACGCCCAGTCAGTACTGTAGATATCTCCAAAGTAAGAGTAATCTGCCGCTTAATGTCGTCTATTGTCTACCTGCTATCATATTTGAAAATTGAAGTGGAGACTTCTCCTCGGTTGCCGCTGGCCTAGTGATTCAGAATGTGATCAAAGTCGTCTTTTCCTTCGCGTATCAGCTTCCCCACATCCCTTTGACGACCTCGAATAATGCCAGGTCCTATTCGACTTTGCTGACATCAATGACAATACGAGCGTCAAATAGAGAGAAACTAGAATACGCTATTACATGATGACTTGATGATCTGAGCAATAAGTCGAAGACTCTCGATCGTAAATTGATATGGTACTACTTCTTACTCGGTGTATAAAGCGCCTTTTGAAGGAGATACGCGTTATCATAGTCAGCGATGAGGACCAGTATGAAAAGCAATGACATGTTTAGCAGCATACAAATCACTCCTCCTTTTTCTTCTTCTCTTACAATATCTTACATGTGCTCCGTAAGACTTTTACTGGTCCATGTGGAGAAAAGCGCGTTTTTAATCGTCTCGGCGATGAACATCAATGTAGACTCTATGGAGACCTTGCTTATCATCTAAATACAAAATACAAAGTTATTAAATTACATCAATGATCATGGATGGCTAGGATTGAAAGAAATAGTTTTATAGCAAATATAACGGTCCAGGCACTGTCAAGCCTTTTGGCACAAGTGCGAAAGGTACCGGTAAACTTCTTCTATAGTATGTGATCAATTGGTATCTGGGCTGAAAAGTAGTCGCCGCGACTTCATGGAACTATCAAGAAATAGGTCCAGGGCTGGTGGAGTCCACACCAACATGTCCATGTGCTAAAGTTCAAAACACAATGTTTTTCGTCAACTGGTCAACTGTTTTTTCTTGCCTTGCTCGCTGTTTGAAAACTGAGCCGACCGTATCGGACTGCAGGAATTAAGCACGTTGCCAGGGAGCAATCATTTTTACATGCCCTGTACATTTAGATTCAATAACGAAGGAGATAGCAATTGCGTTGGGACTACGTCGTAGAGCCCATCAAAAAGTAATAGCTGCTGCATATTTTTTTTTACCAAATTTTCCATAAAGATAGAAACGCGAGTATTTAGAATTTGGTTCCGTTTTGCTTCAAAGATTACTTCGCGCATACTGTTTGCCTTCTGGATAGCGATTAGTAATGACAATCCAAAAAGAGCTGGAGTCGAGGTATCATTTGCATCTTGATGGTCAATGTCTACATAATGAAATACTGACAAATACGATGCACAAGAAACAACTAGTGATGGTTAATGATTACGTTATATACATCATTACAAAGAGAAAAAAATTGACCATCGTGGCTAACGGCTACTTGCTGTCCTTCCAGAGTCTTGTTACATAAATCTACACGACACCAAGCTTATATATACTATGAGGACGGTCTTTTAGGAGATTGCTGCTGAATTTAACAAAGGTTCAACCGAGGCATATAGCGTATACCAAGAATATTATAGCCTGTTTAATTGTCAAACGTATATGGTCATCATAACATCCAAAGATGCCACCGAAAGATCATTGTAACAAAGAAGAAAAAAGATACAATTACCAGGTTCTTTTTGCACTCTTTGGCCGTATTTGGTCATTACATAGTGCTATTAGCAGTGCTGCTTTCACATATATACGAACAGGAAATTGTACAGGTTTGCACGTATATAGAAGTAGGGCGCGCGTCTAATCATAACTCACGAGAGTCAATTCAATAAAAGAGTAAATAGGAATGAGAGCCACTTTAGACATAGTATATTCTGTTTTTGCGATCGGTTCACTTGCTATACCATTATCTTCACCCACCACATTATCTATCTGACACCCTAATAAAGAAAAGGATTTGTTTCTGCCCTTTTTTCCTATCTACATCACCACCCTATCAATCATGTCATATCATGTCGAACAGCATCATGAATTTAATAAGAAATCCTGCTGTATTAGGAAGATGTATGGAGATGCGGCGCCACTGTCTATTATTTTTCTTCTCTGTGCAACTACAAATAGGAATAGTATATTTCGTCGAGCTGATAACGTATGTATATGCTCGGAAAAGCTATGCTGCTTATACGTACTTTTGCTGTATATTCAAAAACTACAAGTTCCTTGGACCGTACACCATCATCGTTTTTTTTTGAAAGAACAATGCTATTGTGACTTTTATCAATATTGTCTTTTGATGATCAAATGTGACTTAGTGCATGGTGAGCGAGTGCTTACTTTATCTGATGGATAAGTATGCTCAAAGTAGCAACATTGAACGGAGAACGTCAGCTAGTATGATACATAGGAGGATGATGTTTTCACAACGTTATGTTAGGGTTAGGATGGTGAAGAAGGATTCAACATGTTAATCCACCACTTTGGACGTAGGGGGAAACAACTCTAAGCAGTAGACCCACTCCCACGACATGCATTAATCAGGCAACATCATACATGTCTTGATAGAACAAAAAATTGCCATATGCGCACCGCTCACCATTTATGGCGATGTATGAAATATTGTATGTATCGCTATCATCAGATCCTTGATCCTATATAGAAGTATAGGTGGCACTATCACTACCACCCAGAGAAGCTAATGGTTTTGCTGCTGCTATTGCCTTATACAACCACACGACAATAACCGAGTGACCGATTTACTGGTACTTTGGCTTCAGATATCAACCCATAATTTGTAACTCAAAAAGCGGAAGCACCCTAAAACAAGAACATTTATAAACTGAGATCAGCAACAGAATGTCAGTAGCTTTCATTGGGATACCCATAGTACTCCTAAGTCTGTTGCTGGCTTGACTAGAAGAAGAAGAATAAGAGCTTTCTGTAGTACATCTAGTTGACAGTTCATTAAACGCTCAAGGTAACGGCAAAACACTTTTGCAGAATACATAAAAGATCGGAGCCGGAGTGAAGAAGTAAATCATGATAGATGCGTATCAGTGATGTACCAATCTTTGGTGCTCCGACGCTTTAAAGACTACCGGGCATTCGGAAGCAAGTCAACAATTTCTTACCCCTGGGCTTTACCTTATCATGGCGGGTCAAACAGGGAGGAAGGGAGAGGGAGAGTGAAAGTGGTGGTTACGATTGTCTCCTCCTCTCATTGAATTAATAATACAGAGGCTACACTTCCACGCGTTTCTTCAACAACAACGTGTTTACTATCTTGATTTTGGATTGGCTGGACTTTACCACATGGTCGTTCCTCCTTCTTCCTTTTCTCTTTGGTACATTACTACTACGCGGGGGCGCATGCAACATAGCACCATCAGCAACAACAACAACAGCGATAGTACACCTAAAAGTCATCTAGAAATAAAAAATCGCGATAGGTTAAACATGTGCGCGCGAGTGGTAAAATAAAAATGCGATTCGTCGGGAAGAGTAACCTAATCGGCCCGAGCGATCGAAGCATGGCCGGATAAAATGGCTTGTACGACAAACGTTACACGCACTCCACATCAGACAAAAATGTCATCGAAGCGATAGACTTGATACGCAACAGCTGCTGTCATTATATAGTAGTCATTCTCCACCCCCACCCCCACCCACACGTCATTGGTTCAATCGTCCCGTCTGTTTTCGTTGAAAAAGAAAGATAATGTGGTAGTGCAGCGTTGGACACAAAGAAGCAAGCATTTGCTCTTCCCATGGCTTATTAATACGTTAACTTAACGTATTTTCTAGTTTGAGTCATCATCGTTCCCAAAGTAAGCACCACTGTTTTATTGTGCAATGGGTGCCGCATCATGACCGAAAAAGGAATATCCATCTATATATGCATAGCCATATATACTTGACTATTATCCTCGCGTTGTTCTTTTGATAGGATATCAGTTCTCTGTAACACCACCGCCTGAGAGGAGAGAGCCATGGCTCCCACGTTTACAAAAATCCATCTCTATTGCGTTGCTATGACAGCAAATGATGGCCATCAACAAAACAGTGGGGGCGATTGATCTTGGTAGGATAGCGACGGTTGCTAGACCCTCACAACAAACAGATGGACATGCAATCTTTCCGTAACAAGGCACCGGTAAAGCTTATTGACGACCATCAAAAGCATACACGCCTGTGGGTGGAATGTGTATATATATAATCAGACGGTATATGAATAAATATGAGCCGGTTGGACAGAGCATTTCCAACTCAGCAGTTGCAACAAAAGGAAAGACCTGTGAAATAGCCAAACAAGCTTTTTCTTTTCCTTTAGGGAGACACAGCATGAAAGAGGGCACCTAACAATGAATGATCGTGTGCCTGGTTGACATGCGCTGGGGCTCAAGTGACACAATGTAAGCAGGATGCATCCGAATGGAATGGGATGAAAAGGCGTTGTTGTTTTGTTCTGTATTTTTCATATGCTCACGTTACAACCCGAGTGCACCCACTCCCCCGCCCTTGCCCAAATGATTGGTGCCAATCCACCAAGATCCAATCCGATTCGGGCGCGCTCACCTTTTTTCCACCCACCCACCCAACTACGTTACAGACCCCGTTGGACTGTTTTTGTCGTCTCTAAGGCTCTCTCTCCCCTCCCCTTGTGAGGTATATGCTGACCCCTCACTGATATATTTTATCTGGGAAGCCGGGAAAAACCACTCTACTTTTTTTTTTCCCCGTCCGTCCACCGGCTTACGTACACAGACAAGCCTGCATGAAGCAGTGTTTTTTAGACAGATGATGATACGCTTTTCATTGTATTTGTGCGTGGCACCAAGATAAGCTTGACGTAGCATATTACAACGCCCCTCGCTTATAGTCTCGTCGTTGTTGCTCAAAGGAGACCGAGGGCGGCGGTGGGGGGGAAGGGGAGGAGGAGAGAAAGAGAGAGAGCAGCCAAACGGCAATTAATTGATCCTTCCGAATGTCCCGGATGATAGAAAACATGGTAAAAACGCGGCGCTCTCATTGGCTAACGCTTATTGATTAAGCAGACACGGCTCGACCCTGAGCTTGTGACCGGCGGAATCAAGGACGGAAAGGATGAACGCTTTTTTCTTCTTTATCGGCTGTGCTGCTGCTGCTGCTGCTGCTGTTGCTGTTGATCTTTTTGTTCTTTGTGCCCAGCTATTGTGAACCTGCTTCTTTTTCTTTCTTCTTTTTTAACAACTTTTTTTCTACCACCCCATTCTACAAAGTAAAAAGAGTATAAAGTACAAAAAAAAAAGAAACAAAGCCTTGGGCCATGATGCAACCAGAACTCCCATACTTTCCAGACCGTGCAATCTCTGCGTCTGCACCCACTTCACCAACTCGTACACTCTTGCATTCTCCTCCCGATGACAGCAAACGACGAAGCTTAAAGTACATTTTCGCTCCCTTGAGCCAGCGGGCTCCACAGACGTCCACGCCGTCAACAAACAAAATAATCCTCGACTACCTACTCTACTTGTCCATCCAGTCGCGTCTCAAGCAGGCGCACGTTGAGCTGATGGAGCTGGCGACACCGCTGCCGGACAGTGGCAACACGGACTCGCTTGAAGCACGCAAGAAACGGTGGATGGAGACTGCCTCAAAGGCGGAACAGGACAAGCATGCCGTCGAAGCCATTGTTGCTGGTAAATAACTTTCTCTTTTCTCTTTCAAGAACACGCGGGGATATAGGAGGAAGAGGAGGTGTTGTGAGGGCAAAGGGAGACAGAGTGGGGCTTCTATCTATATATATACGTGTATAAGGAGGGACACAGCCAGAAAAAAAAAACTGAGACTTACACAATGAACAAACAATAGGCATCCTGTCAGCGGGCTCGCAGATCAAAGGACCGTCGTTTATCAGGGATGATGATTTCGAACAACGGCTGCATCTGTGTCAACTGACGAACCTCGTTTTTGGGCGGTTTGATGCAACCTCTACGGGACAGCACGTGATTGCCCACAATTCTGCCCGTCGACGCCGCCACGAAGCACAACTGATGGCCATGGTGATGGAAAACGCTGATGTCGATGGTGCTGAGGCTGCCGATGACAACGTCGATGATGATGCCAACAAGGAAAACTTGGACGATTTCATCACGCGCAAGCGACAACAACTGTTCTCCAAAGCCATCCTGCCTTCTTATTGTCGACGCCACCGTCGTCAGAACTGCTATGGCTGCGCTATTACGACTAACAGCAGCAGCACGACAATCGCTACACAAACATCAACAACAACACCAACAAATCCATCTTCATCAAACGCATCCTCATCGCCATCGAAAACCATCCCACCGGCTGGACTGATCGAAGCGATCCCAGTGTTCCTCAAGACCAGTGCCGATATGCTGCGACGCACATTGGAAACGACGAGTGGAAGCGACGGCGACGAGAGCCACCAAGAGGAGGAGACGCGACCCATGATATTTGCAGGGCAACGCGTGATGGGTGGTGGCATGCCTCCACGCTGGTACGATCTGTTTTTGAGTCTGTTGAGCCAGGCAGCGATCGAATGCTACATGTGCGACGGTCAAGCCGGGCTGGAGTCGATTTTTGAAATATTTTCATACGGCGATGTGGAGGACGAAGACGAGCCGGAAGATGCCGATGACGAGGACGAGAATGACGACGAGGAGCAGCAGCAGCAGGATAATGACGAATGGGGTGTCCGCGCCGCCGATCATCATTTGCTGTTTCCCAAAACGAGAACAATGTACCTCTTCAAAACACAAGTTCGGGAACGCGAAAAAGAAGTAAGCTCGCTCTCACTCTCTTTATGTCCAAATAGAGGAGGGACTCTTGTCTCTCTCACGCAGAACGGCCAATTTCGGAATGACTCAATGATTTCCCCTCCATCTAAATTTTTTCCTTGTCTAGTTCTTGCTCGTTGAAGGCGACGACTTGAAGACACATTTTGAAAAGCTGGCTCAACGCTATCCTCTCGAAACATTTGAAAAGAGCATGGCCGAATTCATCCAGATGATTCTTAGCACAACCGATACTCCTGCATTAGACAAGGTAAGCAGCCAGGTCGCCTTCTTTCCTTTATGAGATTACTCGTGTCTTAACTTGTATATATCTTGTTTAGTATGACAACCCACCCTCTTCCACTCAATCATCGCCTGAATTGAGCTCACATGCGCACACATCCGATATCATCAGTTCAGGAGCCATTCTGCCACCCGTCTACAAATACCCCGGAGACGGCTCTCTCCTCATGCCCGAGATCCCAGACGTTGACGACGAGCAGGTCGAACCAGTAACACAGCAACAACAACAACAACAGACACAGCAGTCGCATAGCAACAAGCGACGAGCATCCATGTCGAATGCGCCTGAACCCAAGCGTTCGCGATAAGCCAGAAAAGAATATATATTAAGAAAATTAGCATTTATTCCCCCTCCTACACCCGCAACCACCCTGTTCACACACACCCCTCTTGTCACACACACACACACACACACACATATATACACACATCATCATCGTCATCATTCATCCACGCCGATGACACAATAGCACATAGTACTTTTTTGGGTCCTCTAGTCCACAACCCGCTCACTAACCTATAATTCGCATTTCTTCGCTTCTTGTATATTACCTATCACTCACACCCCCCCACTTATCCTGTTCTCTGTATCGTTTGTTTCGCCCATCTCTACTTTTCTCTTAAATACATTGCACTACCTTTTTTATTTTACTTTGTCAATAACAGCACATTATACGATGCGATAGCATGCTTGCCACATGACCCGCAGAAATGAATTACCAGTCTGGTGAAATGTCGTCATACTTGCTGTCCGTACACGACGTATGTGCGATGCATACATGAAATCCCATATCATTTGCAGGAGCAAATTGCCTTTTTCGTAAGGGAGAGCATTTATCTCTCTCACATATCTATCACCTCGATCCCCTTCCCTTCTCTCTCTCTCTACCATCCCCCTTTCTTTCCTCCTCCTCCTTACTTTTATTTTTTTTTTTGAGAGAAAAATATGCCTTCAATGTCATCGCATGCAACGACCACACTAATGTTGGTCATTGGCATGCTTGTGTCTGGTAAAAGAAAAAGAAAAAGCAAAAGTCTAGACGAAATCATTTCTCTTTTTTCCTGACATGCAAAGATCATGGTGATTCTTTTTTTTTTCTCTGGAAATAGGTGTATGCAACACCATCCTGAACAAATACCAAGACATGCAATGTGTCGAGTTTTGTAATGATCCTGATCCGTCCAAACGACGCTACTTTGAACAGCCTGTATGGCAGACGTAAGCAAAACTTTTTTTTATCACAAAAAGTAGGAATCCTTTTGAGCCCTCGCTTTCACTTGGTCTTATGGGAATTGATGATGACGGTTATACCAACACACCCCCTTCTTTCCAAGATCAGCCTCAACATGTTTGTAGGTGAAACGGCTGTGATGCTTGTCCATTTATATCAAGTCTTTGAACGTCGACGTCAGGCCATGGCTGCCGTTCCACCCTCTGCAGCAAACCAATTGGATGCTGCAAGACTGGTCGATGATGTGGATCATCAAGTAGACAAGCAACAGCATCGCGAGCCTCTCAAGGGCACCAAGGCGCTCCTCTTTTGGATACCCACGCTTTGCGATATGACCGCTACCACGGTAAAAGAGGAGGAGGAGGCATACGTGGGTCTGGTTGAGAGAGGCGTTGGGGAAGCTTACCATCCAATGAACCCCACTAGATCATGAATGTGGGTCTGCTATTTACCTCTGCCAGCGTATACCAAATGCTCCGTGGATCAGTTGTCATCTTTACTGGTATTTTCAGTTACTTTTTCCTCAACCGCCGACTGCGTCTCTTTGAATGGGTCGCCCTAGGCATGGTCGTGAGCGGCGTTGCCATTGTTGGCCTTTCCTCCTTGATCTTTCCACAAAACAAACCGTCCGACACGACAAACAACAGCCAAGAAGACCCGCCATTCGATGTCATGTCTCTTGTCGGCGTCGTTCTTGTCCTTGGCGCCCAACTGTTCACTGCATCCCAATTTGTGATTGAAGAGAAGATTTTGCATCGGTATCACGTCACGCCGGTCAAGGCGGTCGGATTAGAAGGCTCGTTTGGTCTTGTGTCGGTCCTGGGTGCGTTGCCGTTCCTGCACGTGTTCTTTGGGGATCGTCACGAGGCGTTTGATATAGAAAAGGGCTTCCATGACTTTTTTGATGTCCCCGGCGTTTGGCAAACCGGTATTGCTATTGCATTCTCCATTGCCTTTTTCAACTGGTTTGGATTGGCTATCACGCGTCGTATTTCGGCGACAGCAAGAAGTACCATTGATACGTGCAGGTAAGGTGGTATTTACAAGACATGTATATGTATCTATACTCACCCAAACTCCTTTTTTTTTTTTCAAAAGAACGCTGTTTATCTGGATGGTGTCCTTGTATCTTGGCTGGGAACAGTTCTCATGGATCCAGGTGATTGGTTTTGCCGTCATGGTCTTAGGCACCTTTTACTTTAACGGCGTGATTCGTTATCCTTTCGCATCTGACGAAGAGTTGGCACGCCAGGCCGAGCATGAACGTGCGCCTTTGTTGCAACAGTCGACTGATGGTCGTGACTCCTCCTCCGAGTATCGTGATTAGATTCTTTCTGTGTTCCTCCCTCATCCTTCCTTTGTTCATTTCCTGTTATTCCATTATTGCTTGTTTTATTTTGTTTTTGTTTTTATTTCAGTTTTACGGGCTTTGTGCTTGAATATACATACACACACATACACACACTCCCTCTTTCTCCTTTGTTTGTGGAGCAGCGATGAAATCATAGTAGAATGAGGGTAGGAGGGGATGGTTACATATGTTTGACAACATTTTTGGTTCTTGCCTCATCCTCAGTACCAATTGTACTACTTGGAAAAGTAAGCACTTGATTGCAAATGTCAAGACCGGGATAAATTGGGCTCTGGAGACAACCATTATCCGATCGGGTGTATCTTTATAGAGTGTGCTTCCCGAATCCAAGAAGCCATTCTATGGAGATTTACTTTCCGATAATACCCACACAAGTGTACACTTGCTGTGATACTTTGATCTGTTTGACAAGTCAAACTGTATGTTTACTTTGCCTGCTACTAACGGATACTAGAATAAATTTTTATGGGAAAACACCACAATAAAGGTTATTACGACTACATAGCTTAGTAGTACTTCTGGTAAGGGTAGCCTAAAGGGTTACTGCCCCCCATACACTACGATACCATGTCACCCATTTATGATTTCAGATTAGTAATATAAGAAGAGGCTCTATACACTTCTTGAGTTAAAGGAATATTCGGGTACAATGAGCAATGGTAATTCGATGATGCGGATACGAAGGAGGAGAAGGACATCGATATGGGAAGCAGCTTTGAATGGGGTAAAAACAGTGTTGGATGGAGGGAAAAAGGTGGGATAAGAAAAAAAAAAGCAATTAACGAAAAAGTGCAAGCAGTACGAAAAAGATAAAAATTAGGACGATTACAATGCATATCGATCCTAGACAAAAAAAAAAGGTTTAGAGATAACATATTCCATTATATAACTAGAAAGAAAGAACTTACTGTTGTCTTTGACCTTGCGTCCAACATAATCAAGCTTCTTTTTAGCCCGCTTTAACCGTTGATCTGTCCGGTCTACCATTTCTTCCGTTTCATCAATAAGCTGAACATGTGTTTCCAGTTCGTCGCCAATCATCAGTCCAAGTTCACGCTGTCGTCGAATGGCGTCAGATAAATCATCAAGGTTGTTGTCTTGATCTGTGCGTGTTTGTGAGTGAGTCACATGGTGTTGTTTACTTTTATAAAATTGCATCATCATCATCATTACTACTACTACCACCGCCATTGGAACCAGCACCATCAAAGTCAAATACATACCATCAATGATCCGCTGCTGAAGTTGCAGGATCTGTCCATTTTCAAGATCACTTGGATCCACTTCTTGCGCAGGATTAAACCTTACGGATTTGCCTCTCTTATTACCTAGCAAAATATCTCTAATGATCCATATGATGTTAACGCCTTGTCATTACAAACATGCCCACACGCTATTTTTCAAGGCTTTTTACCTGGCTCTCTCATCATCACTATTTCCTAACAATGCTTCCAGCTTATCCACTTTTACTTGTAGTAGGATCAATTTATCTTCGTGCGTTTTAGTATCTCTAAAAGTTGCAATATAGAATCGTTAGTTATAAAATAACAAAGGTGGGGGGGGTCCCGTTTAATATATATTTACGCTACGCCTGATTCTTCTTCTTCTGCCAACTGCTGTTCTAGCGATTTCAGTCCATCTCGAAGTTGGGTTAAATTCTTCTGAATGGTCGTTTCATATTTATCGTAGTTTAATCTAATAATCATTGTGGAATGTGGAAAGTTAATAATCCTTGGCATTTCCTTTGAAGGGTTTGTAAAAGGCAAGAAGCACGTTGCTTCTTTCTTCTTCTTCATCAATCCCCAATTACTTTAGTTGTTTTAATCGATTGCGTTCATATATTGTAGGTAATGTGTTGTCGGCAAGAGCTCCAAGACGAGTGGCGAGTTTGATATCCATATTATTGTAGTATTGGTAAAGCAAATAAGCGTATTAAATTGAGGGAAAAGAGAAGAGAGAAACACACACACAAACTACCACTACTGCTGCTGCTGCTGCCCACTGACTGAATTACAATGCAAATAACCAAAGTCGGGGGGGAGATTGCTACGACATACTAGACCAACCAGATCACTCTATATTTATATATGCCTCCATGTATCGTTGAATACAGAAACATGTCCTTTTTATGTAGGTGACCCTTCCATCTCAATGATATGACCTCTTGTTCTCATAAGCCCAACTCACCCAACTCACTGTCATTTATTTTGATTGGAAAAACTGGGCCTTATAAAAAGGTCCTGATTTATAGATAGCAGCATGTGATTTTTGCTTGGCAAAAACTTGTCATTATAAATAACCTCGCGGCCCATACAGCAAGTAGTAGAATGTCAAGAACACACAGGTTACGACATCTTTTCGATAGTGACAGAAAACTTTATCGTTGCCATGGCATGTTAATGGTAGTAGTAGTAGTAGTAGTAGTAGTAGTCTTCTAGTGGCAAACCAAAAACTATCCATGGCACTTGCAACGAAATGTTCAATGACCCATATGATGCGTTTGCAGTGTTTTTTTCATCGAGAAACACACATGATCCCAACCTCCGCACCCCCCCAAGCCCTACTACAGGCAAAAGGACCATTCGTCATGGAAAACAAAAAGAAAGGAGGTAAGTTTCGGTTCAAAGATATGCCTAATGCGCACCACTTATTGGAGAGCATATCACTTTCTCCCCCTTTTTCTTTTTGCGAGTTCAATTGATTGGCGGATAATAGATATAAATTAGGACCTCTTGCGCTTTACCTAGCATGGCAATTTTTACAGTTTCGTCCCCGTCAAGCTTGCTGTAAAGTCGTTGCGGGGCCTCACTCTTCTTCTCTCTTTCTCTCTTTCTCTTCTTTCTTTTTACTAAAAAAACAAACATGAATTCCTGGAAGTTGCCTGGCTCAAAAAGTAAAGAGAACTTCTTCATTCCATTGGAACTGCTTTTTTTTTATATAAAACTTTTTTTTTTTTTACGATTCATGTACCCTTTACTCCATTTCCCTTGAGCTGGTGTGCCATCCAATTCAAAAAAAGCAAGCTAATCATCTCTTTCTTTCAACTCTTTAACTCATATAGAAAGCAAGGACCAAAACTCCTCCACCACCTCTTCTTCTTCTTCTTCAACACAATTAGCGCCTTCGACCGCTCCTACATCCTTTACGTCTGCATCGTCGACATCCACTGCAGCAGCACCATCTGTATCATCATCACACCATCCTGAACCCAAATCAGGTGTCTTACTTATACGAGTATGTGATGCCCGGGGCATCTCGTTGCCGCCGGGCGTCACCCTCCCTTCGGTTCCTCACCAAGCACTCACACCCGCATCCCGCAGCAATCGTGATTCATTAACTCGCAAGCAGAATTGGTGGTTGCCCTATGTTGTTTTGGAGTTTGATAAAAATGAAATCCTAGTGGATGCCCTGGCTGGCGACACGGCAAATCCCATCTATCATTATCGAGCGCACTTGTAAGTGTTTTGCTTCCCTTGGACAAACGATCCATGGTTGGGTTGAAAGGGGAGGGGTGATGTTGTTGTTGTTGTTGTACGTATGTGTATATGATCCAATTACATACACTCATACAACAACAACAACCCCTTAACCTACTGTATATATATATTTGTTTTTTTTTATTTTTCGTGTGGGGCTATCTACCCTTAATTATCCCATTATATTAACCCCTATTAATTTTCTATAAAATAACAACAACTACAACAACAACCAGTGATGTGTCACGTTCTTCAGAAGTGTCGATATCGATCTATTTACGCCAACCACCCAGATCGCAAGGCTCGGCAGCGCGGAACACGAACGATTATTTCCTCGGTGCTGCCAAGATCCAGCCCAATTTTGACACCAACAGGGTTGAGGACCAAAGCCTGAATATCACCGGAGGCACCGGTGTCATGCATGTCCAGCTTTGCTATAAGCCGCAGCAGGTAAATTAGGCGAAAGGGGGGCGGGTTATATTCGCGAACCGAGCGGGATCGAAAGGATGGATGGGTCGGAAAGAAAGGAGACAGCATCAAATAAAGTGGTAGTGGTGGCTCTCTAATCCCAACACTGTGTGTGTGGGGGTCCAGTCGACTCCTCTGAACTGACCAAGTAAATCGTGCGACTGTGTGTGTGTATGTGTATCTATCTATTTTCCAGCAAAGCCAACCCATTGCGTTCGATTCATTCGACTTGCTCCGCGTGGTAGGCAAAGGCAGTTTCGGCAAAGTCTATGTTGTGCGCAAGAAAGATACCAACCGTATATACGCCATGAAAGTCTTGCGCAAGTCAAGAATCATTTCGCGGTCTGAAGTGACACATACGATGGCCGAAAAGACGGTGCTGGCCAAGGTCAGCAACCCGTTCATTGTGCCTCTCAAATTCGCTTTCCAGAGCCCTGACAAGCTGTACTTGGTGTTGGCGTTCATCAACGGTGGCGAATTGTTCCATCATCTTCAAGTTGAGGGCAAGTTTAGTGAAGAACGGTCGCGATTTTATACCGCTGAATTGCTGAGTGCGTTAGAGTGTCTTCATGGTTTCAATGTGATTTATCGGTAAGGGTTTCTCTCTCTCTCTCTCTCGTGTTTTTATTTTGGGGTTGCCAATGGCGTGTTGCTATAATTAGCACTTTTGTGTATTTAAAAAAAAAAAACTATTTATGTTTTTTTTAGTGACTTGAAGCCTGAAAACATCTTGATCGATTACAACGGTCATATTGCCCTGTGTGATTTCGGTTTGTGCAAACTCAACATGACCGAGAACGAGCGGACGAATACTTTTTGTGGTACGCCTGAATACCTTGCACCTGAGCTGCTGCTAGGCCAAGGCTATTCAAAGGTCGTCGACTGGTAACGTTATGATTCAAGAGAAAAAAAGAGAAGCCATCATTTTGGAGGGTGTCAACTGACGATGTGTGGTAAACTAGGTGGACACTGGGTGTCTTGCTCTATGAAATGATGACTGGTTTGCCACCATTCTACGACGAGAATACAAATGAAATGTACAGAAAGATTCTTCAGGACGAGCTGCGTTTCCCCGACGACATGTCGTCTGAGGCCAAGGATCTTTTGCGAGGCGTAAGTTAAAAAAGTAATGTTGTAAATTTTTGGGGGGGGGGGAAAGCTTTTCTATTAACAAGTGGTGTGTGTGTGTGTTGATTTAGTTGCTTACACGTAATCCCGGCGAACGATTGGGCAACAAAGGACCGGAAGATATCAAGAACCATCCGTTTTTCGCCAGCATTGACTGGCGCAAGCTCTTACAAAAGAAGATGCAGCCGCCATTCAAACCGTCGGTGGAGAGCGCATACGACACATCCAACTTTGACGAAGAGTTTACGTCAGAAGAACCGCTCGAGTCGTTGGTGGATGAATCGCAGATCTCGCGGACGATGCAGGAACAATTTGCAGGCTTCACCTTCAATCCGGCCAACGACGGTGTCATGAGCGAAAGTTTCAATGGCTCAGCCTCTGGCAGCGTTGGTGTGAGCGTGGGTCATCATCATTCACAACAAAGTGGACCAAGATGGTAGACTCTTCTTTTCTTCTTCTTCTTCTTCTTCTTCATATATACATCTTCTTCATCCCAATGTGCCACTCCCCCACCACCACCCCCGCCCAAACTTTCTTCTTTACTACGCACCCACTTTTTCCAACACCTTCTCTCTCTCTCTCTCTCTCTCTCTTTCTCCTGTTATTTTTTTTTATTACTGTTTTGTTGTGTGTTTGAATAAAACAATAAAAGAAGAGGACATGTCATGGTTTTCCTTTGATAACAATACCTTATGTTACAAAAGGATCTCCAACTGATTGCATCCTGGACACGTCCAGGAAAGATAGACTTGTCCATCAGGCAATACTAAAGATGCAGCTTTATTACTACTGCTGCTGCTGCTCGATGCTTCAATTCCAGTAACAGGGAAGCAACCACTACATTCGAAAATCCCGCAGCAAAGGGAATTAATAAAATTTATGCCATAACAGAGCATGAATCCTCTCTTTCTCTCACTCTTTTTCTTACCTGTGTTGCGATCGAACCATTCGCATCATTCTATCAACAGCATTGCATGTGAGATCGGCACAATCCAGCGTGATGGTGAGATTGCAGTTTGGACAACACACACCGGTGTTGCAGGGAGTCAAAGGACGCGCACGACATTCAGGACATTTGAAATAGATTGAATCGAGGTGTGGTCTCTTTTGAATAGTGGGCTTTTGAATATGCTCGCATATCTCTTCAAACAATCTTTTCTTTTGTGAGGTGGTCATTGAGAAAGAAAAGGACGCGGCCTAAAAAAAAAAAAAAGTCCAACTGAGCACACACGCTCTTTCTCTTATCACGCGTTATATAGCACCATGGTGTCTTTTTTTTGTAAACAAACAAAAAAGCAGATAGCAGAGAATGTGGGATACAGGTGGGGGTTTTTTTTCCGTTATTTGCCCATTTTTATTAAACTTCCTCTTTCTTTTTTTTCCTGTTCTGCGAACACATACACCTACCTTTGATCATTAAAGTGAAAGTGAGAGTGAGAGAGTGAGAGAGAGAGAATGTCAATATCGTACGATTATCACAATGATTTATTGTCGGTGTCGTCGTCAGGCTCGTCTTCTGGGCGGCGATTCTTTCGGCCCACCAGTTTGGGTCGACCGCCGGGGTTGACCAAACCAGCAACGTACTCTGTACCTCCTCCAATCAACACCACAAGAAGCAGCAGCAGCAGCAGCAACAGCAGCTATGACTATCAACAAACACCAAGTGTAGGTGGGCATAACAACAAAACAGCACCCTTTAAAGAGCTCCAAAAGGTAAAGTGATCAAAAGGAGAGAGGAGAGAGAGAAGGAGAGTATTTCCAAGTCAAGGAGAGAGACCCCTCACCTCTCCCTGTGGCATCTATCGTAAAGAAAAGATGGGGACCAAGGGGGACGTGCGAGCAAAGCCAAGTGACACCAAAAAGTGTAATGTTAGATGATTGCGGATCTGAAAAAGGAAAACTTTGATCTCAAATTAAGGCTGTTCCATACGAACTGGTTGGAACAGGAGGTACTTTGTGATAACCAATATTACTACTACTACTACTCTCGATAGATATATATATGTGACCCACTCATCCTACAGATGTCTATTGTATAGAATGAACGGTTGGCCTCAGCGTTGGACGACATGAGCCATCGTCAAAAACAATCTGCTGCACGATCCGTAGGCACACAGACGCTGTTTGTGGACGTGTCCCCGACCACAACGACCTATTATACTGCATTTGAAACATCACCCGAGGCATTTGGTTTGACACCGCATCGTGCCACGCCGCTGTTGTCCTCGGATCAAGTGGATAGTAGCGTGGAACGCGTGGCGGATGCATTTTCCACGGTGCGCATCGTCTCCTCTTCTCCCGATCCCATCCGTGGCTGGTTGGAGGAAACACAAAAAGTAGAACAGAGTCCTCAACCCAATGTCAGTCCACTGCTGCTGCTGCAGAAAGATAGCGTCGATCAAAGAAGCATCGCATCATTGTAAAGGAATAAAGAATAGCTTTCTCTCTCTCTCAACAACAGAAAGAAAGAACCTCTCCCACGTGGTTGGGATCAGAGCCATTCCCCCCCCCTTTAAACCCACACGCTACACATCAGTAAACCTTAGTCCCGGCCAATAAGAATCGCTCCCTTTTTTTCTTGGTGCTACATACCTCCAATCGTCTAAAGTAAAAAAGTGCTGTGGAGTTGTTGGGTGGCCCTTCTTCTTCTTCTTCTTCTTCTTCTCTCTGTCTCTCTCTCTCTCTGTCTCTCTCCTCAGTTTGTAGTCTTGTTACTGCTGCTGCTTTTGTCGAACGCATTACAAACTCCTTTCAAACAGACACACAAGCTCGGCTCTCTCTCTCTCTCTCTCTTACTGTCTGTCTGTGTGTGTGCGTGTGTGGTCATTTCTCTCTCCATTTCACCACCACCACCGCCTCCTCCTCCTCCTTTTTTTTTTTTTTTTAATCCAGATTCCATTCTCCTCTTTAACATCACTTAACTTTTTCATTAATCCTCTCTTCTCTTCTCCATCACCAAAAAGTGGAATTTATAACCTATCGTTTCTAGCAAACCGTCTGCTGTGCAGTTCAGGCTCTACCACTTTTCTCTCTCTCTCTCTCTCTCTCACCCCTTTCACACTCTTTCCTTCCAAACAACCCCAAACTATATAACACACACATAAAAACTCCATTCTAAAGAAAGAAAGAAAAAAAACAACAACAGAAAGTTTTGTGTGTGTGTTGTATATATTTGCATGAGAGAAGAGAGAGCGAGCGAGGCCGCCGACGAAAAGAACCAGAAAAAGAAAAGAATCAGTTGATCATGGACCCTTCGCATTGCTCCATTGTTGTATTATATCAACCAACAGCCCCTACACCTTATCGAATACAACTTGGCGACGACGACGATGACGACGACGACGCCATTGATCATTACAACAACGATCGTCTTGCCTATGTTTCCATTCTCCAGTCCGTTTTTGGTCAAGGTAATATAAAACACCATGATAAACTACAACAACAACAATAAAGAAAAGCCGTCAACCTATTTTTATTGTTTGCTTGCCTTGTATTTCAATAACCACACAAACAAAGTATCAAAGCTATTGAATGTTGCTTCTTCTTCTTCTTCTTCTTCTTCTTCTTCTTATGAACAAAACCTCGACATTCAACCCAACCCCCACCTCGCGCAACGATATAAACCAACGACATTGGGAAAAACAGTGTACATACAATCAAATCCTGCAGATGCAGTAAAGCAAATACAATATCAACAACAACCAACCTTATGCCTGATCGACATTGACGACGACACGAGCGGCCAAAACGTGGTCGCCAGCATGGCCGCCGATCTGCTGAATCATCATGTCACCATTGCCGGTACGCAACCATCTCTTTTTTTTTTTTCTTACTCTACCATGCACACCACCTCATACACGTACAAAGCACCTCCTATAACTTGCCCTCTCTCTCTCTCTCTCTCTCTCTCTCTCTCTCTCTCTCTCTCTCTCTTTCTTTCTTTCTCCTTGCCCCCCCCTTTACCATCGTCATCTTTATTATCCATATATGTTTTCTCTTACACCACAACTCCTCCTGCTGCTTCCCTCCCCTCCCTCATTGTTTCGTTGAAATTTTGACCGACCCCGTCTATTCTTTTGTTTTTCTTTTCCTTTGCTTTCTACAGTATGCTCGTCCATTGAAGATTATGGGTTTATGCTCGGATGCATCAATGCAGGTGCAGCAGAATACCTGCTGAAGCCCCTGCGTGTGGATGTGGTCAAGACGTTGTTTCTGGTATATATACACATATGAACAAAGAAAAAGAAGAAGAAGAAGATGATGCTACTGGAAAGACTGACATCTTTTGTGTGTGTGTGCGTCTATTCTAGAAAGTACACCACAGCCAGTCGGTTGTGCTGCCAGCAGCATCAGGAGCCACAGCAAATTGCGATGGCGGAGGACTACAACATCGTATCAAGAACACGGCTGCAAAGGACTCTGCGTAAGCTTTTTCTTTTCTTTGTTGTCTCGGGTTGGGAATTGCCACGCGCTGCTCTGTTTCGCACAACTCATGCACACACGCACAAACAAATAACGATCTTTAATTTCCCAATTGGATTAGACTTGTTAAAGCCATGATGGATATCTACGCCCCACCGATTTCCAACAAACGATCACTTGCACCATTGTCAAGGTAACTAACGAACCAACCGATCATTCAGTGGAAAGTGACCCTAATAATAATCCCACATTTTGTGTTTTCCCCCCCCCCCAAAGCCATCGCGCAACATTCCTACGGCGCAAAATTGCTAGTTGGGATTTCTGTCCGTTTGACGTCGATCACGACGATTTGATCCATTGCTCTTATCTCATATTCGAACAAGCCTTGACCTGCCCGGAACTGTCACACATATCAGTCAACCAAAGTAAGTTTGAGACTTCAGTAGGGCAGAGAGAGAGAGAGAGAAGAAGCAAACAGATCTTGACAATGAAATGAAAACCACTTTTTTTTTGTATAATCCTACAACAGCCCAACTCTACGATTTCATCTTTGAATTATCTGTTTCATATCACAACGGCAACGCATACCACAATTTTGCCCACGCGGTTGACGTTCTACAGAGCTTGTACCACTTTCTGTGCAAGCTCGGGGTCCTGCCGTTTCCTGGCAATGTGACGCGACCACAGGACCTCTTGCGGCCCACCGATGTGTTTGCACTGTTGATTGCAGCATTAGGTCACGACGCTGCCCATCCGGGTGTCAATAATATGTTTATGGTAAAGCCTCAGCCGCCGCGTGAGAAGTGAAACGACGTGCCCCCCCCCCCTCCACCTCCCCTTTTTGTTTCTTTATATTATCATCACAAAAGAACATGAAATGAACTGTGTGTTGTAGATCAATTCCGCGACCCCCCTTGCATTGCTCTACAATGATCGGTCGGTTCTCGAGAGTTTCCATTCCATGACGCTGTTCCAGATTATAAAGAAACACAAGATTGATGAGTGCTTGGGATCCACCGAGGATTTTCAAGGTAGGAGGTCTTATTTGTGTGTGTAATGGGAGTGGAGGGGGAGAATAAGCTTCTTTGAGTGCACAAAAAAGAAGGTTGATAGTAGCACACAGTTGTGTGTCATTTGTTTATATGCCAAGAAAAAAAAAAGTTTAAAAACTCACCTCATTCTGGTTTAGCGTTTCGCAAGACGGTAGTGGCTAGTATATTGGCTACGGACATGTCACTCCACAATGACTATGTTACGAGGATCAAGGGTCAGGCAGCACGGTTACGGAATCTCAGTGCTTTAAGTGATTCTGCTCGCGAGGAGGAACGTATGCTGCTTTGTAGTGCGCTTATCAAATGTGCCGATATCAGTAACGTGGTATGTTGAATTGTCACACAAAAAGGGGACGACTGTGGGTTGTGATTCATTGTGTGTGTGTGTGTACGTGTGTATGCGGGTCCCTTCCCGTCGTTATTTTCCCCCACACTCACTCTAAACATACACGGTCTCCTGTCTTTCTCTCCTTCACCCAGACACGGCCCTTTCGACGCGCGGTCAAGTGGGCTGAGCTGCTAGCCCAAGAGTTCATGTGTCAAGGCGATCTCGAACGCAAACTGGGCATGCCTGTCCAACCCATGAATGATCGAGACAAGATGGTCTTGGAGGATATGCAGATTGGATTTATCCAGTTTGTTGCTGCTAGTCTATTTGAAAGCGTTTCCAACGTTACACATGGTAAGTCATTCTTTCTTTCTTTCCCCCCCCCCTTCCCTCCCAACCAACCCTGGGGTGAGCTGTAAATGGACGAGGGAGGTAGCATTACACAGAACCGTGTGAGAAATTCATGCTTATGTTTGTCCCCCGGGGGGTCAATCTTCTATTAGAAATGACGTTCACTGTCGAATCAATGCAGCAGAATCTGCAGCTATGGGAAACACGAAAACGGGAAGAAGAGAATAAAAAGAACAACACAACGGTGATGGAGGAAAAAAAGCAACAACAGCCGCGGAAAAGCCAATCTGAGTACAGCAGGCTATCGTTGGACGCTTCAGCTACCACTACTACTACCAACAAGACCATCACCACTGCTACGGCCAACAGCACTACCACTACAAGCACAACGGCAACTTCTACAGCTGCTACTACGCCAACGAGCAACAATACAGCCAGCTCGGACAAGATCTTCAATGGCCTGCCCCAGATGCCTGCAGTTGCCATGACAAGTTTCGGGAACACGCCTAGCAACGAGTGGATGACGCCCAATGGCACTGTTCCACCGCACGATGGTGTATACTGTCAATGCAACATCATGTAGTCCGTCACCTCTTTTCCCTCCTTCTCATTGAATCAATCAATCAGCCAACCAATCAACCCATTCATCCTATCACTAACAAAAATCCATCCTATAAACGACACCCCGCAACAAAGCGACGACAACGATCTTTTTTTTTTTTTTTACTTATTCCGTGTGTACTTTTTTTTTTAACTTTTTCCTTTCTTCTTTCTATTCCGGCTAACTACAGTTTTTAATCCTCCTCCTACTCTCTTCATAACCCCCCCCCTTCAAACCAACTTTAAACCCATTTTGCCCTCCCCTCAACTCTCCACAAACCTAACCCCACACACTGGCCTTTTCACGATGTATAGAAAAAAAAACTCCTTTTGTAGATTGTACATTTTTCATTTATCCCGTCTTCTTCTTCTTTTTATTTCTTTCTTAAAGACTTTATCTTATCCGTAAAGAAAAAGAATTATTATTATTATTATTATTATTACAGTAGCAACAAACAATATAGCAGCTTTATTATCGAAAACATTCGGTTTGGGGAAAGGATAAAGGGATAGTGATAGAGAAGCGAATTTACTATAATGATGTGTAGCGCACGTATAAAAGTGTTGATGCCCCCCCCCATTGATCTGACAGTTTCACCATGGATACTATAGATCAGTGCACATCATAATATAAAAGACGTGACACGTGTATGATACAAGGATTTGACAATCGATCAGCACGTTGTCTTGAGGGAGCACTGTTTGAGGGAGAGGGGGGGAGAGAGGAAAGGGGATTATGTCATCTATTATCTACCTATGTATTGAGATAAATGTGAGAGAGAAACAAAGGGATTAAGGGAGTGAAAGGGAGAGAGAGTGTGTATGTGTGTGGGTTATACATCATGCAGCAGCAGCAGCAGTGATAGTAAAATGATCACAAGACTGACAGGTGCGAGGTGGTTGAGGAGGAGTGATTATGAAAGGAGAAGCATATGTAGTCATTTCTTTGCAAGTGTGTAACATGATATACTTGAAAAACGGTCTCATTGAATACAGACTGTCGTCGTCGTCGTCGTCGTGTACATCTTTTACGATGACAGGGTGACCCATTGTTTTAATCATTGCAATAGTAGTTTCAACAGGCTCCTCATACTACAATAGAATGTTTACAAGTGATATTCGAGAAAGCTATTATAAATAGTTTGTGTCTTCGCCAGTACATATAACCGTAGTATTGTTTGAAAACCAGGTAAATTTGAACAGTAAATGTAATCTCCTTAAGCGAAGCGTATTTGATAGGGTCGTAGAGTGAGTGGCAAAGAACGCGTGAGATCATACATTAGAAATATCAAGAACACATCATTTTGTTTTCATCAATCTCCTAGATGATGGGTGGTATAATAATATTGAACTTATGATGCTTTTTGATGGAAAATGAGTAAATATCATGCAATGTGGAGGTTCCTTGGTTTAGACGTCCTACTGTTGTTGTTGCTGGCTGCTGTCGCCCTGATGTACAAATTCTAGTGTTGTCATGATGGTGCGCATATCATTCTCCATGACACTGGCCCAATTCTTGACGTCTCCAAGTTCCTACAAAAAGAAAAAAAAACACATTAGTTCTTTTTATTAAAAAGGTAAGAGTTTATATTTATTTATATACCTTGAGAGCAGTGTTGAATTCATCGACAAGTGTCAGCCATTGCTTTGTTTGTTTGGTATATTTTGTCGTTTGAGTCGACAGCTTACGCGACGCTTGTTCTAGCTCTTTTTGCCGTAAAAAGACTTCAGAAACCCTATCAAAAAAAAGGGACAATGCTGTTTCTTAGCAAAAAAAAAAGAAAAAAGATAGAAGCATTAACGTCGCTCATTACCCTTCATTCAAATGATCATTTAAACTGTCTGTTAACTCATTGACTGTTGCCACAGCTTCTTTACGTAATTGTTCTATACAAGAACCGACTTTTTAGATGGAGTGACACCTATACGCAAGTTTCAATAATACCATTTTCGCGTTTTCGTTCAGATTGTTGTTGCTGATGCGATTTAAGCAATTGAGCCAGGGATGGTTCAGCCATGGCTATTAAGAAAGATAGTATGTACGTAGTAATTCCTGCACTCGAGCTTTGATTTTTTTTTTTTTGGAACAACGCGACCAGCTGACCTGGATTTTTTGTTGGGTATACTAGATCGATGCTCGCTTCTTGTTTTATTACTGTAAACAATAAGGGTCACTCTATCCATCATCATTGTTTTGGGCTGTTTTGTGTAAATATGAAATAAAACAGTTCATACCAGTTTGAAATAAGGTACAGTGTGAATCTTGGGGATGAAGGCAGATATGCACGCACGAAGATGTCTGAATCTAGAACAACACTCAGACGATTTGCCACCATCGTCTTTTTTCTTTTCCGGCGGCAAAGGTATCAAAGAGCGCGCGGGCATAATCCATGTGTAGGGGGGATCTGCACGATCCCATAAGCCGAGCACACAGGACGAAACATCGATTCTTCTTACATTCACATCTGGACCGAAAAGTATTATTACCAAAAGGTCACGCGACCTTGTAAAATTGTTTATTATTTTTGTCTGACAGCACATAAGCCTGCATACATGCATTGAGAGAGATGGATTACATGTAACAACAACACGAATCTCAAAGAAGGGCTTCTTCTCAATCCAGATAAAGAGACATGTTTGGTAAATACTAAATAGTGAACCTCTATATTTACGCTTCCCAAAGAAATGATGGTTACCCCCCTCAGATGATCATAGAAGTTTTATACACAACGGAAGTAGTAGCACCCAGCAATCAGGATAAAGTGAAGAAGATTACTCTTTTTCTATTATCCAGCATTTATTCCCTCAGTCGTTGCTCAAGGACCATTTACTTGCTCTCATGTTTTGAACTGACCAAGGGGTGGTGCGTCAAATACATACCTGAATTCGATGACGTTTCCGCAAGTCAGACAGACTCACAATCGAGTGTTAAATTACACGGCGGTTGTGTCAACCTTTTACTGAATCTTGATTATAAAACAACGGGACTATTTTACTACTGCAGACAATGCCGATTGAACGTTATATATTAGCACGTAGAAGCAGTAGCAACAAGAGCACATGAGTGCATCTTTAATTCAATTGATAGTAACGATGGTAGAGCAGGATTTGTGTGCTTCAGGCTTGCTGCTGCCCCGATGTTGGGTTATCGCAATTACATTATCAACCTGTTGGGCGTACATAGATGCCTGGAAAGCAGCAAAAGATCTTGTTCGATGTACAAACAGAGGTGGGTAAAAGTATTGGTAGTAGTATTAGCAGCAGCAGCAGCAGCAGTAGTAGTAATGGCGGTAGGATGCAGCTGAAGCGATAGACATGCATGTACGCCATTATGTACCGCATGCAAATCACTGAGCCAGGTTATATAACAAATAAGTGGCATTCTGCAAAGGTCTTTGAAGAACTCGCACTTTGAATATCTGCTACTACTGCTTCTGGAAAGTGAGAGTGAGAGAGAGCGTTCGAGAGTAAACTAGATCGTTCGCCTTCCTACATACTCCCAGTCCCCTCTTGGCATTCATTTATTCCAAATAGGATATCTCCATTTCATGTCGCCTTGCGTTTCTCTTTACTGCTTTGACTCTTTTGGCTAACTATATGCGTTTTTATATCCATTTTTTTGAGATACCCCAAACCAAAAGTCGTTATTGCTTTTTTTTTCTCTTTTCTCAATTATTGCTTTTACTACCAGCACTATAATATAAATAATAATCCCGATAAACCAAAATGACACGTTTACCGTCATTCTCCGTTACCTCCTATGTTAAAAGTAACGTCGACAGATATGAGTTATCTTTGTCATCATGCGGACATCAGTCGCAGAAACATCAACGAGGACGCCGCCGACGAAGAATACGCAGCAGCAACAATAATAATAGCGTATCACTACGATTACTCCTTCCTATATTCATCCTGCTATGCGCCCTGATTCATTTCCCAAATCCTGTTCATGGAGAATACGACGTGAGCGAAGAGCAGCTAGCCAGGATCCCGTATCGCTTTGCTTCAGCAAGCTTTTCGCACGCTGGTGTGGTATATAGCTATGGCGGAGCAACACGTAACTCGAGTGCATCTACGCTGTTCACATCCATATCCTTTGATCCACACAATGGTCAAGTCATCTATGCCGATGTGCCACAACCCAACTGGAGCCCGAGTACAGCCTATAGCCAAGCTGTATTACTTCCGGACAAAAACCGGGTGTTGTTATTCGGCGGCTGTAATTACACCTCCAGTGTAGGAACGGCAGCAGCAGCAACAACAACACCATCATCGTCCATCAATGACAACAATAGTACTATTACAATGACCCATGATAGTCATACCACAGCAATACGATTGTACGAATATCGATTTGATACTCATAATTGGACTACCTTACCCATTCAAATCACAGGTGGAAGAGGCGATTCTTCTACTACGCTGCTGCCAAGTAATCGGAAAGACTTTACTGCGACGCTTTCTCCAATTAATGGGAAAATATACATCTATGGAGGCCAAGATATTTATTATCAGGCGTCAGCAGCCACACAAGGGCGCGAAGGCATAGAAAAAGGCGTTTCCTTAATTAATGACAATTGGGTGTATGATCCGGAAACGAACATGTTCACTCAACTCCCGCCTGTTCCAGGTCAACCCGATTCCATTCTTTACGGTCATTCAGCCGTAGCACTTGAGTAAGTAGATCCTCCTATGATAGCAGCAGAGATTATTTTTGTCTATCTGGTATCGTACCATATTTAAATATGGCCCACATATACATTACCCCCTTGATAAATGACTCACATGTCTATTGTTATTTTATTTTATATTTTTGTTGTTGCTGCTATAGTAACGGCATCATTGTTCATCTCATGGGTAACGGCTACTATGGTACCGGGTACTATGACAGCAGTCAAAATGCTACAATGTGTGATCGTGCACTGTTGCTTGACACCAATACAGACACGTGGTCTCTCCAGCCATTGATTGGAAGCTCACCACAGCAAATTATCAATGGCTTTGCAGTGCTTGGTAAGCGAAAACTATATTTTATCATGCTACGGGTCACATGACCATTTGCTTTTGAGATAAAGTGCGTGCGCGCGCGCGGATCAGCTACATGCATACACTCTTCTCAATTTGCTGCTCTCTCTCTCTCTTTATAACAATTCTAACCTGACCCCAATGTTTTGTTTTCTTTCGTTTTCTTCGGTATTGAAGGACCCGATCGGAAAAACATCTATATCAGTGGAGGTAATTAAAAAAGAAACTTATCAATACCACAGTGACCGTGAAATATGCTTATGTGTGCAAAATGTATCATTTTCTACACTAGGATTCGGCGCTAGTCGAACATTACAAAACATCAGCGTATCATCAAACGATCTGAATGCTTTGGACACATCTACATGGTCTTGGGTACCATTGGATCAACAGACAGTCGGAGACCCTCCGAAACCGCGCTTTTACACGTGTGCAGAGTTGCTTCACGATGCATACGTGGTGGTTGCTTTCGGTAAGGATAACATAGTGCATCATTTTGCTTTCAGTATTTCTAATAACAGCAGCTTGGAGCTGTTTGGAGACTTGTATATGCATAATCCTACATGCACTGCACATTTGGTTTTCGCTTTTAAAACTAACAAAAGATAACCATAATAGGTGTATCTGAATATTTTTGGTACAATGACATTAATGTACTCAGGTTTTACACTTTTGAAAATGGGTCCCTTGGCACTGAATGGACGGCAAACCTTGATTATCCAGCACAAATGGCAGAGATCGGATCCTCTTCGAATACGTCACTCAGTATAGAAACAAAAATGGCCATTGCCGTCGGTGTTTTAGCTGCAGTGGTTGTCACTGTAGCGTATGTATCTTGGTATCACCGAGATAGTGCCAAAGTGATGCTAGGACGATCTTATCGCTGTCTTATATGGACTTCCAGGTAAAAAACAGAAAAAAAAAAGGCTGCCGCACATGCTTCGTTTTGCTTGTTTATTTCTGGTCATACTATTTCAATGTCTGTCATTGACTAAAGAAAGGATATAATGTAATTGAACCCAACGACATGTCAGCAGAGCCGGCGAACCGATGTGGACAGGCTTGGCACACATATTGTCCAAAACAATCCTTGCATGTATATTCTTGGCATATCTTGTTTACACTATTTTCCAAGTGGCCAATAGTTCGGTTGCAACTCTTACAATCCAAGAGCCAATACGAAGTGTAAGCGTACCCGGTAAGTTATCGAATACAATAGAACAAGCAGTAAAATTTTTATCATAAAGCTTAAAATAAGGATTGGTAAAAATATATCTACACCCAAATATTGTGCTCATACCACCTACAATAACAACTACAGATATCCGGTTCTGCTTTGATGGATGGACAAATCCAAGTCTTGGATGTCAGACGGAAACACTCTCGATCGATGACTGTGTCTCATTAGACTATATTTCTCCTCTCGACATGGGTATCCACCAACCTTACTTTGGCTATACTGGCACGGTTGATTGTTACCTCTTCCATCCACGTAAGAGTTTTCAATTAAGCGGTACACCGAACGCGCCGTTTTACAATGGGTCCAGAATCCAATTCAGCTTCTATGGTACTGCACACCATGTCGACACTCCAGGATTGATTCACATTACGCTGTATCCGCCTGGCATGGACCCCAACCTGGCATATTATTTTAAAAAGTCCCAATACGGCTACGATTATGACACCTCAGCGCTCGACGACTGGCTCTACGACGAAAGCAACAACTTGGTGTCTGAGAACACTTATACAGTGGAAGCCAATACGTCTTCTGCTGTTAGTTACCAGATCACTATCCATCAGTATCTTCAAGAAAGCGCATGGAACAATTTTGGTATTTGGTATGCTTATAATGCAACGCCATCTATCAAAACACAATCGTTGCAAGGTGGCCGCTCAGCAACGCCACGTCCGCTCAATATGACCGGCAACAATTTCTTGGACGTTTATCCGTCCAGTTATACATCAGTGAGCTTGCTCGATCAGAGGATTTATACCATCTTGTCTAGCATCGGTCCTTGCGGTGGTCTGTTGGCATTATTGATTACACTGAACTCGTGGATTTTTGGCGCTCGGCCTCGTTCGCCCTGGGGTATCATCCATCGGATTCTATGGACCGACAGAAGCCGCAACTCGTTACTTCGGGGGCTCCGGGAAAAGTTCGGTGGCGTTGCAGCAGCTGGCAACATTCCATTTATTAACCCGGTTGACAAGCGGGTTCTGACCAGCCAAGAAGCCGATTGGCACGATATTGTAATGACTAGCAGCAACTATCGACGTCGACGCTGGCTTAAACGACGACAGAAGCATCAACAGCAGCAGAATAAAAAAGATGATTTAAAGGAGCAACGAGCAATGACGACAGCACAAGATATAGAGCATCAAAAGCAAAAGAACAACAGTACCTTAAAGGTGCCGTATGATCAGCATCATCAAATCAGCGAAAAGCCCAGCTTCGGTACATTTGTAGCCCTTTCTCACAGGAACAGCAATTATCAATCACAGTCTACTACTTTGGATGACGCAATACAAAAGATTGAGCAACTGCAACGGCGAGTGCAACTCACAGAGTTGCTGCTCAAGACATATTACATTGACGACGAAGTTTTCCGGGGGCTACACATTGCACTCGCACAACAAGAGCAGCTGCAGCAAGAGCAGCAAGACAGATCAGCAAGTGATAGCTCATCAATACTATCTTCTGCTTCGACATCGCGTCGACATGACCCTGGTACTGCTACCACCGCTACGATTGCCGCTACTGCTGGTACGATGACGGAGAACAGCTACAATGACGATTGCAGCGAGCATCAATGCGATAAGAGTCCTACATCTGCATCACCCGAGTTTGATCTAGCAGAAACGCCACCAGGAACACCAACTACGCCACCTCCTGCTTTTAATCAACATAGTAGCCTTTTCAGCACCAGTACAAATTCATACGCGTCGTCATCCCGTGATCCACCACCACCACGATTTTCTTCAGAAATTCGAGCTTCACAACTGCCGCCATTTTATACATGATTGTTTTGGTATTCATTTTTTGATCCTTTGTAAACTTATTGTAACTACTTTTCATAGTCTGAAAAGATAATGTACTCAAAAAGAAACGCGTTTTTGCTTGCTGCACGCGATTGGACTGGGCGGAGTTACTGAAATGGTACATAGCGCGTCCGCTTGATACATGTATTCTTATTCTTTCCGCACCCACATATAAATACTCCAAAGTCGATAAATGACACAACCGCCACGAAAAAAGCGTCATGTCACTCAAGACAATGAATCCGAAGATGTGGATTCAGTCACTGTGAAAGAAGAAATAGAAGAAGAACAAGACAAAACAGTGGTAGAAACTTCAATAGAATCTAAAGTCGCAGCAACACCAGCAACAACGTCGACCACAGAAGCATCAGTAGATGCAACATTACCAGATACAGTAACAACAATGAGCGATCAACAAACAGCATCTGAAAATAGTAGATCGTTGTCACCCGAAGCATCTCAACGACCACCGGCAAAGAAACCGCGTCCTTCCAGCTTGACACCAAGTTCACAAGCGAGCGAGCGACCTCGAGTAACATTTGCACCCAATGTTCATGCTTCACAACAACAACAACAACAACAACAACAATCTCAACGTCAACCACCGCTACCCATGGACGCCTCTTCTTCACCACAACCTGCCGAACGTAAACCTAGACTCGTTATTACCAAAATGGTGCTCAACAATTTCAAATCGTACGCTGGTCGACAAGTTATTGGTCCTTTCCAAAAGGTATGTCATGGTTTGCTAGTTCGGTCGTGGCGGGGCTGTTTGTTGCATACAAACTACTTTTGGGAATAGATTTCTTAAAAAGTACTAATAATATGATAAATAACTAGTCTTTCAGTGCGAGTACGTTAATCATTACCCGCACGCAATCTAATATTACCCGGCTAGATAGTATGTTGCATCTGAAAATAGACTAATTGATACATGAACGTTGCAACAGTTGTAGGACCTAACGGCTCTGGTAAATCTAATGTGATTGATGCTCTGTTGTTCGTCTTTGGTTATCGTGCAAACAAGATGCGACAGGGCAAGCTATCTGAATTGATCCACAATTCTGCAAAGTATCCAAACCTTGCCAGCTGTTCTGTTGAAATCCATTTTCAAGAAATCATTGACGGCGTAAGTCTTATGCAGTCCATTAAAAGACTCACAGAATGATTTGTGTTACTAATCCAATACGGTGTGGATTTTGTGGCTATATCTTCTTTATTATTATTAGAACACTCCTACTGAATTCGAAAAGGTGCCAAACTCGCGATTGATGATCTCTCGACATGCGTATCGAAACAACTCTAGCAAATACCACATTAACGAAAAAACGAGCTCGTATACCGAAGTGACAACATTACTAAGAAAACGGGGTATTGATTTGGATCATAAACGTTTTCTGATCCTACAAGTAAGCTTTAAACGAAACAAGAAGAGGGGGGGGTTTGTTATTCATTAATGTTTTTGCTTATTGGAAAAAAACAAAGGGTGAAGTTGAATCGATTGCTTTGATGAAACCAAAAGCCAAGGACGACAATGACGATGGTCTGCTGGAATACCTGGAAGATATTATCGGCACTTCGAAATATAAAGAACCCATTGAATCTGCAAATAAGCGACTGGAAGAGTTGAATGAAGATCGAGTCGAAAAATTAAACCGAGCACGTTATGTTGGAAAGGAAAAAGACAGTTTGGAGGTTGGTATTAGTGAAAATCATAGTTAGTGAAAGTTGTCTATGACCTTTAATTGGTTGATCCTATTACCTGCTTCCAAATTTAATGCGGGAAACACAAAAAAATAGGGCAAGAAATGCGAAGCAGAAATGTTTCTAGAAAACGAAAACGAACTCGCACGGAAAAAGAACGAATTGTACCAAGTCTATATCTATGAAGCAAAGGATAACATTTCAGTGGCAAACACGGCTGTGGTATGTGATTTTTTGTATCATAACTTTGTGCTTTACAGTGTTCAGGATGTGTATGTCAGTAGAATACGTTAACTGATGCTTTTTTTTACAGGACGAGCTTAAACGAAAATTAGAAGAAGAAAAAGTCAGTCATGTTGATATTGAAAAAGAACAAACAGAAATGTCTACTCGCTACCAAGGAGCGGTTAAAGAATATGACGTAAGTCCATTTGGGAAACTCGCCTGATTAGATAGCAAATAGATTATACTTATACTTTGTGTATATGTGTGTATATACATTATTAGGCCCTCTCTGTACAGATGTCTCAAGTCAAAAAGAAGCAGAGCAAGTTTGAAAAGGATGAAGTCCAACTCCGTGAGCGCCGAGATCATTTGGTTAACAAGAATGAAAAGTCCAAAGCGGCTCTGGAAAAGGTAAAAAGAATTTGAACTACCGGGATTGCACAGAGATATTATCCCTAGAGTGCATCAATCACTTATATACAGATACATTCATTCTTTAATACCACTGCTTAGGATCAAGAAGCTCGTATTGCTGCACGCGATGCTATTAAAAAGAACGGCGACGAGCTAGTGAAAAAGCGAAAGGATCTCAAAGAATTGGAAAAGCAGCTCAAACGTGAAGAAGCCAAGATGGAGGAAATCAATCGTGAACTGACCGGGAAAACAGATGAATACAAGGCTCAAATTGAAGAACTCCAAAAGGAGCGGGCTCCTTGGACAGAAAAGATCAACAAGAAGAAGAAAGATATCGATGTTCGCAAATCAGAAAAAGAAATCCTAGAGGAGAAAATGTCATCTGGTACAAAAGCAGTTCAGGACGCTGAAGCTCAAGTCGATAGGATAGAAAAAACGCGTTCTTCCAAGGTATGTTTACTTGTACTTTTACTGCATCCGTATCTGCTGGTTTCTCGCTTACACATATATATTCAAACCATTGATTTTTTGAGTAGCATGCCGAGAGTGAGTCCTTACCAAAGCATATTGAAAGTCTTCGAAAGGAAACCGAAGAGTTAGATCAAAATCTCAGGGCAAGTAGCTATAATATGCTTATTGAACGTATCATATTTCTGTGGACCAATTTTAACTGTATTCAATTCTATGTAGGATGTAGATGAGCGTGAAGGCAACTGCAGAAAAGAATTAAGCCTTGCTAGACAGAAGGCTGATGACGCCAAAGCCTCACTGCAACAATCTCAAAGTCGTGGTAAAGTCTTTGATAGCCTCCTCCGTATGCGCGATTCTGGACGCATCAAGGGTATTTACGTACGTGTATTATTTTCTGGTATCTCGACAAACCCCTCGGCTTACAACGAAGAGCGAACAGACTAAAGCTAAAATTATTATGTGCCACCCGTAGGATCGTTTAGGCAACCTGGGCGTCATCGATGACAAGTACGACGTAGCTGTTTCAACAGCATGCCCGGCGCTGGACAATATTGTCGTAGAAACGGTTGAGGCCGGTCAGGCATGCATTGAATATCTGCGCAAAAACAATCTCGGCCGAGCCGTGTTTACCATTCTCGACAAGCTTGGACGTCAAGACACCCGGTCAATCAATACTCCTGAAAATGTACCTCGACTGTTTGACCTAATCCGGCCCAAACACGACCGATTTTCGCCTGCGTTTTACAGTGTTCTCCGTGATACCTTAGTAGCAGACAACTTGAAACAAGCCAATCGCATTGCTTATGGTCGCGAGCGATGGCGGGTGGTAACGTTGGATGGCAAACTGATTGAAAAATCAGGTGCCATGACCGGTGGTGGTAACAGGCAGCTCCGTGGTGCTATGGGTTCAAGTTTCAAGGATGACGAAGTGAGCGCTGATACCGTTGCCAAGCTGGAGCGCGAACAATACAAGCTTGAAGAGGAGCTGCGTAACATTGTCGAAGAGAAGCGTGCATCTGAGTTGGCGCTACGATCCAAGAAAGAAAGTTTGCCTCGCAAAGAAATGACGTTGGAGAAGCTGCAGATGGATATGGACAGTTTGGATCGGCAGCTGGAGGACGCACGAACTCGTCGTGACACATTAAAGTAAGTGCAAACTTTTCGAAGAGTGATTTTGATAAAACAGGTGAAAATAATACTTTTCTTCTCTTTCTCTGATTGTCTTTTAGAACGCAAATGGAACCAAGCCCTGAAGATGTCAAACGACACAGCGAAATTGGACACGAGATTGAAAAGCTGGAAAATGATATGGCAGAATTGGAGGAGAAGCCTGCAGAGATTGATGAACAAATCCAATCGCTGCAAGAAGAAATCATGGATGCAGGTGGTATGGATTTACGACTGCAAAAGATCGTTGTGGATGACGTCAACAAGCGAATCGAGAATCTCAACAGCAGAATCACCAAGGCAATGGTTGCCAAGGCCAAAGCTGAAAAGGATGTTGTCAAGCTCGAATCATCTATCAAGAAATACGAACAAGAAGATGGAAAAATTGACCAAGATATCAAGAAGCTTGAAGCAGAATCGGCACAAAAAGCAAAGGAAGCAGCTGGCATAATAAAGCAAGTCGAGGAATTGAACAAGGTACATCGCAATCAGTGCTGCAGCCGATATATGTTGTTGCTTCAGATTAATGAAGCAATTGACATCTCAATACTCAACTTTACATCGACTGTTTTTCTTTCATCTAGGATATAGAGAAGAAGAAGAAGGAAATCGACAAACTTAAGAATGATCTGGATGATAAAACAAAGCAAATCAACGAGCTCCGAAAATCCGAAATTGAAATCAAGAACAAGCTCGAAAACTATCAAAGAAGTTTGGCCGATAACCAGCGCAAGGTTGTACATTGGAATGAGCAACGTACTAAACTGTCTCTGCATAATTACAAGTAAGGACATAAAGATTTTGTCAAAATAACGTCTATATACGTTGCAATATTCCAGATTTGCTAATACCACGCACTGAAATCTTTATCCAGAGACCAAAGCGAGGAAGAACTTCACTTACCAGAGTTCGATGATGAGACGGTTAAAGAATTGCAAAAGTCTGTGCAGGCAATAAAGACGGATATTGCTGAGATTGAAGGTTTGTTAGAAAATATTAAGCAGTATGCGAAGCAAATGAAGTACATGAATGGTCTGAATGCTCATTCTTTTTCTTCTGCTACATAGCACTTGTTGAAAATGCAAAGCCAAATTTATCGGTATTGGAAGAATATCGACGACGTGAAGAGGAATATAATGGACGTGTAGAGGAATTAAACGACGTTACAAGCAAACGCGATGAAGTTAAAAACGAGGCAGAAAGTCTGCGCAAGCAACGATTGGATGAATTCATGCAAGGATTCAACATTATTTCGCAAAAGCTCAAAGAGATGTATCAGGTAAAATTATTGTTGTGCTTCACTATTCATAAACTATGTACAAGTGATAAAAGCACAGTCAACTCATACACGCTTCGTTTTTGGCAGATGATCACGATGGGTGGTAACGCAGAGTTAGAGCTTGTCGATAGTTTGGATCCATTTTCAGAAGGCATCGTTTTCAGTGTCATGCCACCCAAGAAGAGCTGGAAGAACATTTCAAATCTTTCCGGTGGTGAAAAGGTAACGTTTTAATAAGAGCGAAAAAAGCGGTGAGTACAGGTGCTCGACGATTCATGCCACAAATTGCTATAATGTAGACTCTCAGCTCTCTTGCACTTGTATTTGCATTGCATCATTTCAAACCTACACCTCTTTATGTCATGGATGAAATTGATGCTGCCTTGGATTTCCGTAACGTCTCTATCGTCGCCAGCTACATTGCCGAACGCACCAAAAACGCACAATTCGTCATTATCAGCTTAAGAAACAATATGTTTGAATTGGCTGATCGTCTAGTCGGCATCTACAAAACAAACGACTGTACAAAGAGTATTGCTATCAATCCATCCATGATAGCCATGCTTACTGAATTACATCAACCCGAAAACCCCTCCTCGACACAACAACAGCAGCAATCACAATCACAACTACAAGTACAATCACAATCATTAGCGCCGACAAGTCGCAATCCTACACCTACCTAAAAGGGTTACTATAACGCAAGCACATTTTAACACGCACTCACCATCATAACGTTCCTCTTTTCGTTTACCCTTTTGTCTTTCCTATCTTAATGCATTAATAATATCATCAAAATCATCGTCCCATACATGTAACCTACCGACAGTATAACATTTTATCGATAACATGTCTCATAGGAAAGTGTTATGGATGAAGATCTATTAATGGGGGGTTTTTTTTTCAAATGCAAACACAAAGGAGAACGGCTACCATGCAGAGTTAAGGGCACAAATTAATAGTTGATACACAAGATGTTCTAGCCGACCCAGACTGAAAGCCCCTTTTTAGACGTTCTGTACGGAGTATGACAATCGCCCTTTTGGATTTGTTTAGCAGTAAATTTCGCATTAATCATTCCCATCCCCAATTCTTATTTAGACAATTCTCCCAATTCTTCATTTCCTCCTTCTCTTCCCTGTGTATTTCGTTTGTCCACCCTGAATCGTAAACCGTCAAACTGTAGGCTTGGTGTGTTTTGTTTTTATTATGATATCGTCATTGTCACTTCTATCAATCACACAATTAAATAGATTTTATACACATCACCTTGATCGTCTGTATGTAATATACAAAGACAGACGCTTCGGGCTAACCATATGCGAATGACTTGTGAGGGACATATAACATATAATACTGAACTAAGGGGATGATCGGAAGCTTTTTTAATCATACACGTACCTGCTTGGATGGCCAGATCCCTCTACTATCCGTGTGTGTTCATCGATTCTTTAGAAAAGAGCCGACTTGTACGATAGCAAATGTGAAGACGGTTATAGACTTGTTTATACTCATTTGTTTTGAAAAACATCAACGCGCTGTATTATTGCCAAACAATGCTTCAAAGATATTGTAATGGTGAAGATATTTCCAAGGCACCAAATAGCAGAGTATTTATTCACTTCCATAATTAAGCTTGAGTATTCTTTGATGGCCCAAAGAGTCTTCTAATGTGTTCAGCTATGATATGACGTGCTCTTTTGTAAAGAACAAACACTTCATGCACGGACATAAACCCATTGAAGTTGTCACTAATCGAGGAACCAATCAATATGCCGCGATCCCGACGCGTCACGATTTGTTCTCCGACCTTTTCGCGTCACTTAAACACGTTTACAAACTGTCCTCATGTAGCCATGCTCAATCTCCCCAACCACCGCCAATCAAGAGCACCAGGGAGGGCCATGCAAAATTTTTGTCATAGCATTATTTCCGCGAAGTGATGATACACACCAGGACCACAGCGAGGGGAGACGAACACTCACCCTCCTTGACAGAGTCAATTAGGGCCTGCGCCCCTTTGCGCTAATTGACCTTCTGCTTCTCCCAACAGCTCTCTTCCCAGTTGCATCACTCACGTACACACACACACGACAATACACCATGCCTGCTACCCTCCAACAAACAAGCTATTTTCTCCAAGATCCCTACCACCTACCCCGTCCCAGGTGAACACATCACCGTAAAAGACTCCACCATCGACCTCGATGCTCCTTTGGAGGAAGGCCAGTTCATTCTCAAGCTTCTCTCGCTCTCCGTCGATCCTTACATGCGTGGCCGTATGAGAGACGCCTCCATCAAGTCGTACTCGCCTGCTTTCCCTCTTGGCAAGCCTATGACTGGCGACACCGTGAACGTTGTTGTCAAGTCTAACAACGCCAACTTTAAGGAAGGCGATCTCGTCTACAGCAAGACTGGCTGTGGTATCTTTGCTGTCCGCAACGAGCCAAAGAAAACCGGTATACCCATTACCAACTATGTTGGCGTCCTTGCCATGCCTGGTATGACCGCTTACGTTGGGTGAGTCTTACGATTTTCTAATGCTGTTAGTGCAAGAGCTAAGCTTGTAAAATTTTGAAAATTTTCTTATACCCGTGGTTCAACTCTAATTTCGTGTAGCCTTCTCTCAAGCTCGGTGCTCCCAAGAAGGGGGAGAAACTTCACGTCTCTGCTGCTTCCGGTGCCGTTGGTCAATTGGTCGGCCAGATTGGTAAGACCTTGGGTCTGCACGTTTTTGGCTCTGCAGGTTTTGATGACAAGGTCGCTTACCTCAAGGAGATCGGTTTCGATGCCGCATTCAATTACAAGAAGGTTGATAACTTGACCGAAAAGCTGCGCGAAGTCTGCCCTAATGGAATTGACATCTACTTTGAAATTGTTGGTGGTCAGATGCTTGAAGCTGTCATCACCAACTGCAACCAGTTTGGTAGGTAGGATAACATTTTTTTGTGGTTAACTTTTTGGCAGCGAGTAAAATCAGAACAAAGTCATGATTAAACGCGTGTCATTGTATAGAATTGTTGGATGTGGTATGATCGCGCAATACAACCGTGAAAAGCCCGAAGGTATTCATAACTTGATGCAGGTTGTTGCCAAGCGTTTGCGTATCGAAGGATTCATTGTCGGTGACTCCGTGGAGATGAAGGAGCCTTTCCGCAAGGATATGACCAAGTGGCTGTTGGAAGGCAAGATCAAGTATCGTGAGACCGTCGCAAACGGCATTGAACAGACCCCTCAGGCTTTGGTTGATGTGCTGCGTGGTGACAACTTTGGCAAGCAAGTTGTCAAGGTTGCCGATCTGTAAATTGATACCTATTTATTAAAATGATAATATCATATCCATTCTACATAATGGATTGTATAGCGGAAAAAAAAACATATTCGGTAGCGTTTGTGCAGATTAGTATTTGTTTATCAAAATTTCCTTTCAAGACTTAAAAATCCAAAAACATTTGATCTATTTTTTATTTGTGCCAAAGCAGAGGCCATCATTTGTTAAGTATCTGTACTTTTTTCTTGGTTGATCACGGTGCTGCATGAAACTGTCAAGAAGCTTTTTTTTTAATTAGTTCAAGTTGCACAATTCATGCAGAATCTAAGGGAAACGGTAAGTTTTCTAATTTCAGGGTGAGATGTATAAAAGCTCAAAATAGAACTTCAGCCTCGCGATTGAAATGACGTCTCCAATCAGCATTCTTTTTGCTTTATTCGCAGTATATGAGACAGTATGATATGTAGCGTATACATGTTTTCATACATAGCTCTGTTTATTCAGCTTTTCCAGAATACATGATGTATGTCGACGCTGCTACTGTTTGATTGAAGAGTAAATAGCAATCGAAATCTCAGGTTACCGTTGGGCCTTCTTACAGGGTCTTGGAAGGTCGTTTTAGGTGTCCGAAAGGTTACAAACAGCAATTTTGTATCTTTCGGATGGACAGCTCTTTGTTATTAATACTCGTAGATGATCTCCCGTGAACTTGGGAGGTCTAGCTCCGCCGCGTATACCTTTTTGTGGCACCTTGACTTGAGCTTTCTATATCAAAAGCACAATGTACTTTACCCAACATGTCTATAAGCGTGTAGCTAGTCCTTTGTTCTTCCTTGATCATGTGGCGCATGAGAAAAATGACACAATTATCATGCCTTCTTTTGCTCCGATTCTGTAGAGTACTTCCTCAGGTCCCACATATCAATACTACTTACCTGTATACAGATATCTATGGGAGGGTATCTATAGGAAACCCGAGAAACAAAATCTACAGTTAAAGTTTATAACTATTAGTATCGCTGTGACCAGAACCTTTAACTTTTAAAAAACGCGTAGTATGTAATTTTTATCGACGCATATCTCTTTTACCATTGTAAATAAATTTAACAATACCACCATGCCTATCTGAATAACAAAAACGCAAATCACTTATCCCAAGCGTCCAACAGGATATCCTGTGGCAAATGAGCACTTGACTATTAGCAAGACGAGCTTCGCAACGACATCAAAACGTCCGGTTCGTCAGTGACCTACTTTCTAGGAGCACTGGGAATGCCTGGTGCAACAGCTTATTTTAGGTATGTATGGAAAACATCCTTACAATATTTTGTCCCAAGACAAAATTCAGTATCGCGAAATGGTTATTATGATGTGACCCTTAAACAAACAATCACCACTCAATAAACTGTAGTATATTCTTGATGTTATCATTCAAATTCGTTGTCCTTTTGGGGAAGCTTTAGAAACTTCTTTCTTTAAATAATGAACGGTGTGTGGTTTTTGTCTGCATTTGGTAATGCTGATATGGTGTGTATGTAAACAAACTTGTTGAAGTAAAGGAATCGATAAAAATAGTTGCATCTAACAAAGAAGATATACGAACCCGTGGAAATGAAGGAAAAGACATGAAAGGAAAAATTTCTATCATCACATAGCAAAGAACAATGAAGGGCAATAAAAAGCGTTCCTCAGTTGGCATAAAATTTAGCGGATGGAAATTGAAACAAAGAAGCCAAAAGTGCCCATTGCTCCTGCTTGCAGAACACAATAAGCAAGCAGCTATCGCTACCGGCAACAAAATAGTCGTCAGTCTCACTAGTATATATAGGGTCTAGGCAAAGCAAAAATTCAACTGCCCTTCACTTCACCCACTACTACCAACACCACCCACCCCATTCTTTTTTGTTTTACCCTACCAGCAACCAAACCCCATTCTTATCAGCAAGATGTCGCGAAGAAGTAGACGCATTCAAGGAATAGAGCCTGAAGTGTCCAATGAGGAAGCACAGCGGATTGTACAGCATCGGCAGCGGGAACAGCAAAAGAAACCCACATCCAGACCCACACCCAGACCCACACCCAGCGCAGGACCAGCTCAAGCTGGTAGACGAGGACGAGGCCATCAAGGAAAAACACGCGGACGAGGTCGTGGTAGTGGCAGTGGCTATCATGCAGGAGGACAGTCACGACAAGATTCTACTCGAACGGAAGAGCCAACTGCCCAGTCATCTACCGGTGCAGCACCCCGGGAGGACGAACAAGTGCTTTTGGAAGCCGCCAGGAACATTGCATATCGTGCACGACAATACCAACAGGCATCGTCGTCATCTTCATCTGCTCCTCCATCGTCACCAACACACAAGGAAATTATTGGTGTGCTCAAACAGATCACGGGTCGTTTGGAGCAGCAGCAGCAGCAGCAGCACGGACAGGCATCGTCATCCACTATGGAACAACAAGGATCCCCAGTCTCTCCTGTCCTCGGTAAACGCCAGCGAGATACGTCCAGAGAAGACGAAGAAGATAAAGAAGAACAAAAACGGGAAAATCGGGGTAAGAGAGAATCCCTCCGTCCCAGGCACACTTCCCCTCTTAACAAATGGATTGTTTTTCTTATTCTTTTTTATTCTAACATAATATAATGACTGTTTTCCTCTTATTCAACATGTATTCATTATTACAGCACATCATCGACACCGTATGCTGCGTAAGTAATACGGTTTCTTTAATATTACTGTAAAAATGTGCGTCTATGATATTTGATTAACTGATATTTTTTGTTGCTGTCACTTGTTGTTGGCTACTATTCCGTGCTCATTATCTTTAAATATCAAAGAATTGTCCGAGTTTTTGAATGAGCCTACGCAGCTGGCCAGAAAAGCCGCCGTCGTTTTATACCAGAACCGTATGGAGCAGGAGTTGGAGATAGCAATCGATTATATTTATAAGTTTCTACGAACAGGATCAGGAGGACGGAACCGAGATCCAAGAATTGTCCGAGAGTAAGTAGCCCCAACTTTTAGAGAAATATACATTTTATTGTTTCGTGCAACCGTTCTTAAACTCACTATTCCAAATTGTTCCCTCTTTCCCTCTATATATGACATGATATATAACAGACGTATGGCTTTCTTGAGGTTTTGGGACACGCTTATCAGGGATTATGAATTGACGATCGCGACGCGACTTCACTCTATGTATGAGTACAAAGAGCTCATTTGGAAATGGGAAGATATCTATAACGATTGCGTTTCCTTGGCCAATACACCCATAGACCCAAATGATAGCGTTGGTCACCAAGTTCGTGTCGCCCGGTTCGTGTCGCGTGCGAAGAAGCTCATCAATGATGACGTGTAGTTCCTGCCGGATATTGTTGCTCATCTTCAGGAGCAGCAGTGAACATTCAAACTAGTGTCGAAAAAACAAAACCGTATTTGCCACGGTTTTTTTTTGTAATGAAGCATAACAGAAGAAAGTCAAGAATAAATTGAGAATCTAGCTTTGATCTGTAGTAGTAGTAGTATGTAGCGATTCTTTCAATTCCTTGATCAAAATAAGCATTTTGTAATAAATAATAGTGACACTACCTAGTATCAATATTCAATATTTCGTTTTGGTAATTAGTAATTTCGCTGACAAAATGCTAGGTTCTTTTCCATGATATGTAACTGAACTTATTGCTTACATACATAATACATCATGGAACGAAGCCTGTCGCACATATGATCGTACCGGTTATTACGCCTGTATTATTAGGATAGCATGCATTTTAAGAGCAAGCTACTGTAACCAGCCATGAAGAAAGAGACACGGGTGTGGTCTGTGCGACAATCACGGACCATGCTTAGCAACTAACGACACTATGTATCTCCACTGTATGCTGGACGGCGTCGATCAATTTTTGCATGTCATGAAAACTTTTATGCGTGGAACTTCAGTTGGAAAGTAGGTCGTTAAAGTTGCAGAATTATGGTCAAAATCAGTACATCACACATTGTATGTGTTGCATATCTATATCTTACATACAGTTGACCCCCTTTAATGTCAACCCTCAAGTACACCTGAAAGTGTTGACGCTAACGGGGGTTGACGTTAAAGGGGGTGGCACAAAGTTTAACCGTATAATAGAAATATTAAACCAGCGCACCCCGACACAATGTATGTATGCAACAGAGTCGTTCCTAACAATGTATTTTCAACCAACAACGAGATAACCTCTTTTGATTGGATATGTTTGACCTCAATAAGAAGTCAACCCTGGCCAAGGTGTTGACATTGACCTTATGTAAAAGTTGAAATTTATCTCTGCTAAAATGTGAGGTTCTCAGAAAAAGGTTGACCATATCGGGGGTTGACATTAAAGGGGTTGACATTAAAGGGGGTCCACTGTATATCGATGTGATGTACATATAATGCATGCAGTTCACGATAGTACAGTACGTGTCGTTACTATTGCTGTCTTTACCTAATCAAAAAACTTAGCAAAAGAACGATGTACCTAATCGAAAAGTAAAAGCTATGTTGTCTCTGAAATCTCTATCTCTGATGTGTGTATTCACTTATTTGATTAGAAAGTTCGAAAGCTGTGGTTTGTGTCATATTAAAAGATAAACATATTGTAATCCGAGAACTGCATCCCAAAACATGCAAGGCGTTTTAAAGCGTTTTAACAATTTGTAACGTGCTAAGACGATCTTACGACAACAAAGCTACTTTATGTTGGACTTTATTATTATCATAGAACAAAAGGCTCCTATCTGCTTCCCATAAGTACAGAATAGATAAAGCGCTGGCTGTTTAAAAAACGTTGCGTGCTTCGTTATTTCTAATCCTATAGTGGCACATACAGTAGCCGCTCGCTAAGCCGATCACTTATTAAAATTACCGACCCGGTAAGCAGTGAATATCGCGCTTGCTCGGTAAGCCGATCACCGATCATTGTTTTGTAAAGCCTGAAAGTATTCACACCATGGTTAGATATTGTAATAGATCAAATAATGGTGGTTGACGGATATTTTTTGTGTTCATCATTACATCTCACAATACCTTGTGATATTCAAGTGCTTTTCCTACTTTGCCTTGACTGTGGTATATTTTGCCTAACCCAACGCGCACATCAGAGTTTTGAGGGTTTTTGCCTTGACTGTGGTATAATTTGCCTAACCCAACGCGCACATCAGAGTTTTGAGGGTTTTTGTCGAGAGCTAGGCGGAAACATTTGGAGGCACGGTCATATTTCCTATGATATAGTCAAAGAAAAAATTATTAGTCTACCATGATAACAGTAGCTAAGGGAGTTTACTTTATTGCACGCTCTGCGAAATTACCTCATCCCTTTGTATACGTGGCCCAGTTTTGGGGGATCGGCAATATCGATTTCGTCGAGGAGATACTGGTCACTTCAATTCCCGAAGCTGATCGTTTTGAGGCATCCCTTCGACCGTTGACAAGGAATCATCGTCGTGCTAGGTGCACTTACCCAGGTGAAGGCGCCGCCGGGCAACGCAGGACTCAACCAGAGCCCTGCTCTTCAATAGTGGGCTATGCAATCGATTATAATAACGAAGAAATTTATCAAAACTGATAAATACTCACACGAATGACAACTTCTCACACAGCTTCACAGCATAAAAGCACAACTCAGATGACGCTACCCTGTGCAGGTCAGTGCCCGAGAAAGAGCGTGAGAAAGAGCGAGAGAGAGAGACAGAGCGAGAGAGAGAGAGAGAGACAAAGAGAGACAAAACTATAAAGGAAAAAATGAAAAGAACGTTAGACCATTGGTTGCAAATAAAGAATCACTCATCGTGACGATCAAACAGCAACTGCACTGACAGAATGTTAATGAATGCATACGGGGCAAGCGCGTTGAAAGTTAGGAAGAAAAGTCAACGTCTCGATGAGTCGTGCAGTATGCTACTTTTATAACCTATTTGATCATATCAATCACATGGTTTCACTAGTGTCGTCAGCAGCACCTTTCATCAATGACCACTGGTAAATAGAGAATGGTAATGGACTTCTTTTCATCGCACACAAAGGGATCCTTTTATCTTTAATACTGCTTCTTTTGACAGAGCATACTACTACTTAATCCACCATCCAAACATTCTATCAGTGATCAAACAAAACGTAAGTGATAAATCTTGTATCAGTTATGCGCAAATTCATTACGCATTTTAATAGGACCTTGTATAGACAAATGGCATTGCATAATGGTATGATGTATATGTGATGAAACACCTATTTAGTACGGGTTCTCTCCGATCTGTGATATACCGGGAACAGTGCTATAACTATCATTCATCAGTAAAAATATCCATTTAAAAAATACACAAAATGTCCTTGCACCTATGACCCCATGTAAGCCTGCAATTGTCGTTGTTTTTATGCGTTTTGGTTCTTTCAACTAGAGACACTACTATGCCATATGCAGCAGTATTTCGAGTGTAACACATAAAAGCTTATTCAAAGCTGTCATTGACTGCTTTAAGGATTCTTATACAGCCTTCTGATTGGCCACAAGGTAAGCCCAGGAACTACCATTTTTTTATCACACCGCTGCTGCCTCGGTAGGGCTTTCAAATTGTGTTCGTGTGAATCTTAAAAAATAAAAGAAACTTCGTCCTTTCTTCATTTACACACCTCTCCCCTATGCATATTTCATACGTCCTTGTCATTACCTTTGATCGAACCAAATACGTCCCGTTTCTCACTCACCATGATGACAGCAACATTATGCAACGTTGTATTCACTGAAACCAAACCATTCAATGTCAACACATCAACACCAACCAAAAAGCGGCTTGACCAAGCTTACGATCTGTTGCATCTCCACGTTCTGGATGCGAAAACCTGGCAATAATAAGCAAGTTATCGAAACGCCATGGCCTCCAGCTACGAGAGTGTACCCCTTTCACCAAGATTTGCAAAAAAGCGACAGCATACAACTGGAGACAACTCCACCGATCGCTGCAAAGAGGTTGCTGCAGCTTGTGGCGATAGCATACTTGAAAGGTTAATGCATTTATTTGTTTTCAACGCGCAAGCTGGCGCGAATAATAAATCCTAACGGCGTGAGTACTGTCGCGGTACTGCAACACACTGACTCGTTCTTGGTAGAAGAGACAAATTGACTCGAGATATGCGATCTCGAGAATTATAAGGTCTGTTTTTACTGCTTCAATGCATGTGTTTGATAGCATCAAGCATATTCAAAAGTACTCACTTCCCTTTTTTATTCTCAAACACACAAAACCAGACAAGTCAAGCAGCAAGCTCCACCACCATCATCGACAGCAGCCACCGTGAAAGACGATAAAGTCGAACATTCACTGGATTTTTCTAGTAAAATCGAACTCGACGAGGACGGTATTATCCGCCGAGAAAACGAAAAAGCCTTAGATGAATCAGCTACTGCTGCAGCCGCATTAAAGATCTTGATAGGCTCCAACGACAACACAACAACCGAATGCCCAAAGGCATCTTGGATATCAATTTTTCGAAATCAACCGCGAATACAAGTAGCTGTTAGCTGATTCGCCGATCGATTGAAAAAATACAAGAACTTTGATCGGCTCGTACAAAGATGAAGGCAATCAACTGTTTGAAGAAGTCCGGCAATATCTACAAATCAGCAGCTGGGATGACATTCTTGGATATGTTGGAGAAAGCAGTAGCGATGGCAGTAGCAGTGGCAGTAAAGGAGACGATGAAGGCGACGACGATAATATCAATGAAGTCAAGCAACAAAAGAAGCAGAAAACATACGAAACGATCACCTTCAGTCTGCGATCCGTCATACGTCCTGAAATCAATCACACCAACTTTCTGCAAGCACTCCAAGATGAACAACAAAGAGTCGGTCAATGTGTGCATGAACTAAGTCAAAGGGTGCACACATTGACCGATCTCATAGCGACTGGTGCGGTAGCGCAACTGGTCGGCATTGACATCGATCGAGACATTTTTGATATCAGACATCTTGCCCCAAAGTTTCCGTTTGCGACAAATGCCACCACAGAAGTGTAAGTCGCGCCTATCACAAAAGAGCACGATCAAAAAAACATTGAAAAGCAATCGCATTTATACCTTTGAGAATCTTTCCAATATACTTTCAGGTATGTTTGATGGAGTCTGGTGGAATGGAGGAAATGTACCGCGTCAGCTGTTAAACATGTTCTGATAAACTGTGATGCTGACATAGGTTGCGTTGGTTCGAATATAAATGCGAAGAGAGATCCGGTTATATTTCGGAATATACGCGAACAGATCATGGCTCAGAAAATCTGTTGAATAAAAGGAAGATATCTCGTTTACAGGTGTTTTGGGCGCGGCCTTACTTATATTTTCCACAGCGGCGAAGAATTTTTGGAACAGGAAGCGCCATAACCGCGATCTATGCATTCTCACTTTTGCCCTGCTTCGTTTGAATTTGGCATCCCGTCGGACCACACGCTTTCTGGAACTCCACGCGCAACATGCCCAGCTCAAGAAAACGCAAAAGGAGGAAGAAACTCAAGAAAGAAAGGTGGTGACACAGTCGAAAAGAAGGCGCGTAAAATGGTCGACTACTATACCAAGGATCTGGCTTGGGCGATTATAAAAGGGCGGGATTGCGCGGCGATTAACAAGTTGCTCGAAAAAGTTGAGGAATGGAATACAAAGGTATCGAAGCAGCTTGCGTAAAAATGTTGTTTATATGCAGCCTGATCCTAATCGCTTTGTTTGCTTATCTTCTTTGTATACAGCTGCAAGGGTCTTCCGAAAGGACCAAAAGCAAGTGTCGCTGGAAGTGAAGAGTCATCGACGAAGCAGAAACTTCGACGGACCGCGAAAGAAGCCAAAGAATGCCATCCACTCTTCTTTCCGCAGAAGTACGCTGCAGCTCATACGCCTGGATTGACACCGCTGCAGAAAGCAACGGCAGCAATTCGCCAAATGGCATATGGCGTATCTGCCGATTCGACCGACGAATATGTTCGCCTGGGTGCAAGCACTGCTCTTGAGTGCCTAAAGCGCTTCTGCTTGGCAATCAGCCGCATCTTTGGTGACGATACCTGCGCTCACCAAACGAGGATGATATCAACCGGCTTCTTGAAATGGCGGAAAAATCGCGGGTTCCCTGGCATGCTCGGTTTCTTGGACTGCATGCATTGGGAATGGAAAAACTGTCCTGCCGGATGGAAAGGCCAATATCAAGGCAAAGAGAAGAAAGCTACAGTTATCCTTGAGGCTGTAGGAGACTTCGAAACATGGATCTGGCACGCTTTCCCCGGTCTCCCCGGTACGCTGAATGACATCAATGACTTGCAGCGTTCCCCCATCTTCGATGATCTGGCGTCTGATGTTACGTCGCCCGTTAACTTTCCTGTCAATGGCCACAACTACACCAAAGGCTATTATTTAGTTGATGGTATTTACCCGTGGTGGGCTACCTTTATGGATCCGATTGAGAAGAAAAAAAAGGTAAAGTTTACAAATGCATATGTAGAGCAACAACTCTAACTACTTATATAGTTGTTTACCGCCATGCAAGAAGCGTACCGTAAGGATGTCGAGCGTGCCTTTGGGATCTTGCAAAGTAGATCTGCTGTGATTCGACACCCAGCAAGTCTATGGCAACCTGACGATCTTTCAATGGTTGTGCGAGCATGCATAATCTTGCATAATATGATTGTTGAAGATCAGCGCTGCAATCCAGAAGAGGATGTTGCTAATGACAACGAAGCCGAAGTATTGCGAAGTGTTGGATCGGCGCCCCTTTTGACAGTTCGCAGGGATCCAAACACCATGAGCGAATATTTGAATCGCTATGATGAGATCAAGGATGTTGCGGTCCACGATCAACTCAAGAACGACCTCGTTGAGCATTTATGGCAGCACCAAGGCAATATGATTTAGTAAACACAAAAGAGATGATTTTATTATATTGTTTTCTATTACTCGTCAACTTTGTCGTCGGTAGTCTGTTGAACTTCTACGTCCTGGGCAATGGCTTTTTTTGCGATTCTGGCCTTTACATTGGCCAAAGCCTCGTCTTTTCTCAGCGTCCAATACTCGAGTTTAGCTGCTGAGTGTCTGCTGAGCTCGTATCACTTCATCGTCGTTCATTTTCTCCTGGAGCTCGATGCGCCTGCGGTTGTTCTTAACCTGCTCCTCTTCAGCCTTCGCCAATCGAGCATAATTACTGTCCAATTTACGCTTGCGCATACCAGCCTCCTTCTCTTGCTCCTTGACTTTCTTGCAACCGATTGGGCGCTTCACATACTCAGGTGCGCTTTGATTTGTCACGCTGACATACTTGTTGCTGAGCTTTGGTTGATCATGAAGCTCGTTGTAACAGTGTCGATACTTCCAAGCAGCTTTCGCAGCTTTCTTATACAGCGTTACTGCGTAGCCTATTTTAACTCACATACATACACTAGAACTGGTATCGTATCGTTTACGAAAGCTAGCATCCCTAAACCTCACTTGCTTCGCTGTTCCGCTTTGTTTCGCGCAGGAGCTTGTGCAAGACGACCGCAGTATCTAGACGCCTCTCTTTGGATGTTACTCCTTCGGCTCGAGAGGGCTCTCTGGAGTCCATACATCCCTATCTCCTCCTCTTTGGAGAAAAATCTTTGTAGATAGCCTCCCAAATTTTTTAGAGTGGTACATCGATGCCCTTTGACGAACGAGTGGAGGTGGCAAGCCAAGATTGACACAACGCGAATTTAATTTCACTCTGCGCTAAAATAGAATCTAGCACAAAACGTTGGCGCAAGAAATACGTCCGCTTGGAACTTGATCGTGCGAACGCTGGTCGCGAATTCCGAAAGGGTCGCAAAAAAAGAATCTAGGATTTCAACCTCTATGGAAGACTCCAAGGTATACGGGTATTAGTCCTAATATGAAGTCACGAGTAAACTACGAGAGCATGTGTAGAAGGTATTTATACTACGCGTGATAATTATAGGAGCTGCCATCATAGCATGTTGGTAGCACCCGAGCTGACGTGCCTACCCACGACATCATGTGTTGCTGTTTTGTCTGTGATCAGCGTGACACACAACAACAGGGTTCATCATGATCAGTGCTATCTCTTCCTAATTTCATATTCTCGTGACAACTAACGCATATTTTTAGAATACTGGTCACTTTTATGATATTTATTATGTTATAGATACGCACTTTTATGTATAATCTAACATCTTTATTCAATGTGAAGATAAATAATCTCTAAGATCAGTAATTCAATAAGCGCCAATTGAAGAACACAGCACTTATTAAAGATGGACAACGTGCTTGCTTTTTTACACTACAACCAATTCGTGCGTAGTAGATACACATTCTCTGAACTGGCGGAGCAACCGCTCTTTCGGTGCTTGTGTCAACAAACATTTGATGTGATTGTTTGCCCCACGTCGATCCCCACAATATTTCAATTGCCTATTTCGGGCCAGCCTTTGGCAACTTATTGATAGATGATAATGACAAGTGGCATATATATGTATATATACACATCTTACTCAAGAGCAGTAGGATGGGGATTTTCTCTTAAAGAAATCTACTCAGTACCAAACTGTTTTCGTTGCCGTGACATAACCTAAATTATTGCTATCATACATTGTTATGCATTGTTGCTTTATAACAGAATATTGCTTAAAAAACCCCCTCATTTCTCCTTCAATTTCTCAGATGAAGCAGTGTCTATAATGAAAGGTGCTGTCCTGTTAGAAAGTTAAAATGAAAATAATGCGTCCTTTTACAGAAAAAAACTATAGAGTGCCATGATGAGAAAGAGAGGGGGGGGAGGGAACTACCGACAGCCAAAGAGAGCTTCTCCGCCTTGCGGTCAACTTCTAATCTGGAAAGAAAAAAAAATTCAATTTACAGCGGTCTTCTTTTATTTAACTTTGTTCATTTGTTCAACATCCCTATAACACTCATTTTTGCGCACAACCCACAAAAAAGAAAGAAGAAGAGGAAGAGGAAGAGGAAAACAACACTCCAAAACAAAAGATACGAACTAACGACGAACTATACAAACCAAGGCGCGACGCGAGGCTAACAATTTGAGCTGTGAAAAAGAATACAAGACGTTTTGGTGCGGTAGCTTCATTATTCAACCATGAATGCCTCGTCGTCGCCGCCGCCATCATCGCCTGACAGCACAGACGATGAGCCACCACTGTCGAGTCGAGAAAAACATATATCACAAGCACCACATTTCCGCATTGATCATTCACCATCACTACGTCCCATCTCGAACTCTTCACCTACCACAACTTCACCATCACCGCCTTCATCACCGTCCACTATTCCTACAACAACTTCCACTACAAGTACAACGCGCACTGTTGCCAACATTACAACAACCACCAGCATACCATCCACACAAAAACCATTTACACTACCACGAGCTTATAGAATTACACGATACAGCCGCTACTTTATAATCCTATCCATACTCCTATCTTTTATAACTATTTTTGTCATGTTAGACTCATTTTTGCATCATCAACGAGACGTCGATGGATGTCAGGACAGTTTCATGCAGCCAGTATATCTTCGACAGTCCGGATTTGATAGCGAAATGACTCGATTTGCAAGTAAATACGCGCTTTACTTGTATCGAGAAAAAGATGTTGATCTTTCCGACCAGGTAAAAAATATCAATGTTTTTGACGAAGCATATGACTCTCTCTCTCTCTCCCTGTCTTATTATTGCGCAACGTTTTTTTTATGGGGAGGAGGAGACGGACGATGAGGAGAAGACACATTGGAGTTATGAAACTAATATAAATATGGGAAACTAATTCTTTGGGTAAAAAAAAAACACATGTATACTAGCCTACGGGAGTTCCAGTACTGTTTATTCCTGGCCATGCAGGGAGTCATAAGCAAATACGATCCATAGCCGCCGAAACAGCGTATGCCTATTATCAGCATTACGCCACACATCCAGAAATTCCAAAGCAAGGCGTCAGGAATCTCGATTTTTTTACGGGTTAGTTTTAGAAAGGAGAGAAAAAGCTTTCGATGTGGAACAGAGAGAACAGGCGGATTGTTTCTTTTGTTGGTACCGGAAAACTCATACTTTCTCACGTAAACCAACAACACGTTTGGGGATTACATTAGTGGATTTTCACGAAGAGTTTTCTGCGTTGCATGGACAATCTTTACTCGAGCAGGCCGAGTATCTCAACGATGCAATCGACTATATCCTCAAACTCTACCCACGATCCCGTAAATCCCGACGCTATCCTGACCCAACATCTGTTCTGATCATCGGCCATTCCATGGGTGGTGTTGTTGCACGCAGCATGTTTATGATCAACAATTACCAGCCAGGATCCATCAACACCATCATCACGCTATCGACGCCGCACATTTTACCGCCTGCACCGTTTGATTGGAAAATATCCAAGATTTACGACGACATGCATCGGTATTGGGTCAACGGGTACAACACGCATTCTCACGATCTATCGGCAACGACAAAGACAGCGACGGACTATCACCACTGGGCCTCACTCAAGGACGTGATGCTCATTTCGATTGCCGGTGGCACGTTGGACAATATTGTGTGCTCCGACTCGGCCAACGTCGGTGCATTTATACCGGCATCCAATGGATTCACAGTGTTCACAACCGCGGTTCCCCAAGTGTGGACGGGTACGGATCATTTATCCATCTATTCGTGCAAACAGTTGGTGCGAGTCTTGGCAAAAAGCATGCTGGATATTGTCGACACCCGACGTGCAACCCAGACCAAGTCACTAGAAGATCGCATGGCTGTCATGAAAAAGGCGTTTCTTAGTGGATTGGAAGACAGAACGCAGGGTTTATCCCTAGGTATCTTGAAGAATCTTTTTCATTTGGATATTGATGGCGTGGTCGTCTACATATAAAGACGATCATTTATATAACTCTTTTGTCCTTTTAAATAGGTCGCCCAAATCACAGCCAGATGTCCGACCGCGATCTGCGATCATTAAAGATCGGGGAGCGACTGGTAATTATAGACGACGACGGCGACAACACCGCCGCCCCTGTACGACTCTCATTATTGCCAAGATCGACAGATGCCACGGCATTCTCCGTCTTGACCGATCAACCTATCGGTGTTGACGGGTCCCGATTTTCCTTGGTCTTTTGCAACATGATGGACCGGGTTTCAACAAGTGACAACACGCGACTCGTGTGTCAACCTGCAGATGAAGCCGCTGTGCTTGTACCTGCATCTACCGAGCGTGACAACCATCCATTCTCGGGTCGCACCTTTTCATTTGCCAGCGTTCGATATGATGAAATGAAGCAATACCAATGGTTTGGTGTGATGGATGACGGCGTAGGCAGTAGTAGTAGCAGTGGTAGCAGTGGTGGATTTTTAATAGCAGAGTCATTCAATCCTGAGGAGGGCAAACACAAGTACACAATCGACACATCGATGCTATCCATTGCCATGAAAGGCGTTCACGTCAATGTCAAACCAGCGCTGTTCTCATCCATCCACATCCCATCGATCGAAAGCCCGATGCTTGCGTACCATCTCAAAGTGTCACGACGTGGCTGTAGCAACATATTCGCGCCTTTTCTTCGACAGTCCATATCGACCATGCACGAATCCAAATTCTATGTCAATCTAGCGAATAGCCAAGATGAGACAGATGTTTCGTTACACGGACGCACCGCATTTTCGTCCATGGCAATCAGCACACGCGACGTCGATCATCGAGGACTGTCATTACAAGTTTGGATGGACCCAACATGTGGTGACGAGCCGCTTAAAATTGACCTTGCGATCGATTGGTATGGCAGTGCAGGACGGATAGGTTTCCGCAATGGGATAATGCTGCTGGCATATGCATTCATTATCGTGATGTTTGTTATTGCGGGACAGATCTATTGCTACAACAAGACAGGTAAGGAAACAAGAGTGCTTATTGAGTAGAGAGGGCTTGCTGATTGAGATGAAGCGTCTAACTGATGGTTTCTTTCCCCTCCCCCCTTCGCACACACCTAATTTAGGAATATTTCCGCATTTCGGACAAGGGCTTAGTTTTTGCATCCGACGCACGTTACCTGTCATTATACCCATTGTAGCACTCTGCAGCATCTATCAGTGCACGACACAGCACCATCTACCTGCATACACCACTGTTTTGAACGACCTGGATGTATCGATTGCTTGGCATGACCTGCTTATTGGAAACTCAGATCCGTTCTTCTGGTGGCTGCCCATTGTTGGCCTGCTGCTGAGTCTTGGCGCCATCTCGTTTGTGTGGTTGGTTGTGGAGTTGCTGCTGCATTTTTGTGCCAGCATTTCCTCGTTTCTCATTGGTCAGCGGTCCACCTTTGCCACTACTACTACTACCTGGCGTTGGTGTAACCGAGCGAATGAAACGAGGAGTCAGAAATTTCAACGAAGAGCCATCACCACATTGGTGCTTTTTGTAATGGTGGCAACATGTATCCCGTATCAGTTTGTCTTTGTCGTGGCAGTCTTGGTGCATATCATTAGTTGTATCAGGTCATTGATACGGACATGGGCTGCGGTAAGTGGGTTTCATAAAAGGGAAAAAAATACAGATATATATATAATTCTAGAATGACCCAGAAAAGTTTAATATAACTCCACTCTTACTAATCGATTGCTATGGGCCTATTACCTACTACTACTACTACTACCACTGTCACTACTTTTGATGGAGTAACTTTAGCCGTTGCAAGGTTACAAACGAGCCAATCGCTACCATTACATGCAATCGCTTCTACTGCTGATGATTACGCTGCTTCCATTCAATTTGCCTATTCTGGTTGTGTGGATACGTAATTTATCAGTTCATTGGTTCGTTCCGTTTTCATCCGACCACAATGTGTTTGCGATTGCACCGTTCATTCTGTACGTCGAGCTGCTGACAGGAAGTCGTAAGATGCTTCCTCGGACCCAGGGGTAAGTAGAGTGACATATGCACTTGGATCGATTAGAAGAAGAGGGTGGAGCTGACAACGGATATGGAAACTTACGTAGGCCTTGGCATTGGGGAACGTGCATTCTGATCTACGGTGTGGTTGCATATACGTTCCTGTACGGGATCAAGTACACCCACTCGATTTACTTTCTGTCGAATCATATGATGGCTTGGTTTCTGCTGCTCCACGCTCGAGATTCGCATTATGGACGAATGACGTATCGTTACGTAGCGGACCATGTGTATCCTTTCCGCAGCAAAAAGCATTCTTGACACATATAATTACTCATCACATACCACCTTCATCCACTCCCTGCGTGTATATCTTCACTCACTCTCCGCAACCCATCTCACTCATTTACACACACACACACACACTTTTTATATTTAACTATTTAATACTTCATTTTGTACTTATTCGTCTGTAGTTATTGTTTTTTGCGTTTTGTAGTTTCTTGTTAGAGGACAACGAGTAAAAACATCTTTCTTTCTCAAAACAACACCATGTCTTGCCAAAACAAAAAAGGGCTGTGTCATGATCCATTAGTCAGACTATGTGACCCTATCCTCGATGGACTGAACAACACCTGCATCCACACACACACACACACCCCACCCCCTCCCCCCCAACCCAAAGGTGCTGCGTAAAAACGCAAAAGGAGTATTGCGAAATGGTTAGGACATGTGATAGCAAAAGGGCCACGGCCCATTAAATAAAAAGTTGCTAACAAACAAAGGCTCTTACAAACTGACCCACAGACGCAAACACGTAGAAAAAATTTGTGTGTGTTTCAAAAAAATCAAACCCTCTCTTTTTTAATCCCACCCTTTCTTAATTTTTACTGCTCCGTCTCTTTCTTCTTCTTTTTTCTCACTTTTATGCCTTTTTCACTAGACTTTGGTACATCGCAGCAACCACAACAACAGCAACAACAACAACACTTTTCATTACCCATGGTCTTGCAAGAAATCAGAAAGACTACCTTATGGTAACCTTTTCTTTATTGTTGAAACCTTAACCCCCTTTTCCCTCTTTTTTTGCCCCTTGCTTTTTTTTTTTTTTTTTTTTTTGTTTCTGACATTCTTGTCATATAGGATGGGTGATCTCGAGCCATGGATGGATGAACAGTACATTCGTCAACTCTGGTTCAACCTCAACGAAACGGTCATGGTCAAAGTCATTCGAGATAAAGTGACCTCGTAAGTTTATTCTTCTTTATTAACTACTTGTTTGCTTGGCTGCATAATCTCTGCTCGGGAAAAGAATAATAACGTCGACTAACATTTAAAAAAATTGTTGTCTACCATCTCCACCCCCCCGTCACCCAAATTACAACACCCTCATACAATGTATAGTGCCAGTGCTGGTTATGCCTTTGTTGATTTCGGTTCGACGGCCAGCGCAGCTGCTGCGCTCAATGCTTTCAATGGTGCCGTCATTCCAAACACTCACAAGACGTTTAAGCTCAATTGGGCGTCAGGTGGTGGCCTGATCGACCGACGGTAAGTCAGGCGTTTCTTTTTCTTTCCTTCTTTTTTGAAATTACATAATATATTTCGAACCAAAAAAAAAACTCATTGCTCTTGTTATGAATGATTGTAGAGAGGATCGACAGCCCGAGTACTCAATCTTTGCCGGCGACCTCAGTCCCGATTGCACCGAACCGACATTGTTGGTAAGTTTTCTATTTTCGGACTCGAAAAAAAAAAAAAAAAAAGAGGTTAGCTCAAGTGGAAAAAGGGAAACAATAAAAGCTGAACTAAACCTTATATAGTCGGCCTTTGCAAGCCGCTACCGTTCATGCAAATCGGCAAAGATCATGACAGATCCTCGCACAGGCTTGTCCCGTGGCTACGGCTTTGTACGCTTTTCCGACCCACTTGAGCAGCAGCGTGCTCTCATTGAAATGCAGGGCATGCTCATCTGCAACCGTCCTGTGCGAGTTTCAATGGCAACGCCCAAACATCATCAACAACAACAACAAGCAACAACAGGAGCAGCGACGGGGTCAACGCTGTCATCGTCATCGTCATTAGTGCAGCAGCAACAGCAGCAACAGCAGCAACAGCAGCAACACCAATCCAGCTCGCCCACGTCGCTGTCGCCACAATCCAAGTCGCCGATCATGCAGGCAAACGATCCCAACAACACGACCGTGTTTGTAGGTGGACTGTCCGCACCGATTAGAGAAGACGAACTGCGCCAGTACTTTAGTCCGTTTGGCGAAATTGTGTACACCAAAATCCCGCCCGGTAAAGGCTGCGGATTTGTGCAGTTCGTTTCGAGATTGTCTGCCGAAACCGCGATCCAGCAGATGAACGGTTACCAGATTGGAAACTCCCGCATTCGTTTGTCTTGGGGTCGTTCGCAGAATGACAAATCCGCAGCTGCGGCGGCTGCGGCGGCTGCTGCTGCTACTGCCGCTGCTGCTGCTGCTGCCGCCCAAGCTCAAAAACAACAACAGCAACAACAGGAACAATTGCAACGGTAAGCTGATCTTTTTATTTTTAGCACTGACTTTGCAGGAATATATCCATGGGCCCCCTTTTACTCACGTTTCTCTCAAACCTAATCTCGTCGACTCCCTGCTTCTTCCCCGTGTGCGTCGCAGTAGGGCATCGCTTGTTTCCAATTACAGCCCGTTTTCGTCAGTGCGCCAGCAGCAGCCCTCAGCGTATGAATCATATGAACAGCAGTCAGCGGTGTTTCCGTCATCGCTGCTTCAACGGACGTATCAGAACAGAGCCTCGTCATTGGATTGGCTCATGCGTGACGATAGCCTGTTCTCATCGACGTCAAAGCTGTTCGACAACCGCCCTGTGACCGAGTCAACAAGCACCACGCCTTCGTCTGTCGTGACAAGCACCCCGTCTCCTTGGAGCTCGTTCAACCACATTTACGCTCAATAAGCTTTCCGTTCCTTTGACTCCCCACTCTCCACCCCACTCTCCATCGCTCTATCCGTCTGCTTCTTCCAACAACAACCTCTATCCACTTCTTCTTCTCACATTGCATGCAGTTTTTCCCTCTTATCTCTTTTCTTTGTTTGTTTTCTTTTCTGTCATAGTATAATCTTTCCAACCCCCCCCCTCCCTTCCCCTCCCCTTTCTCTTTGTTTTTTCCTTCTTCCCCTCTCCTCAACAAACACATCTTTACATATTATTATATACTCTTTACACACATACATTATATCTACAGCACAGCACAGCACAACACCCACTCATATTTCACGCACATTCTCATATTATATACTACTGAATTGGCTCTTTTCTTTTCCCTACTCCTTTTGCATTTTGTAAAGTTTTGAATTTATTGTATTGACTTTCTTTTTTCTTCTTCTTCTTCATGATGTGCTAGCATTACAATATCAAAATTTTAAACCATTAATAAAATCATACAAATATCTTTGTTTTTTCCTGTACAGATGACCGTCTTTTTCTTTACATGTAGGGTGGCTGTTGAGCATAATTAGGATAGAATACGATGCTGTTTGGATCTGGCACGTTGGGAGCGTTGCTGCTGATATTACCGTTGCCAGGTCTACCGTTGACACTCGGATTGAGAAAGAAGACGCACAGATTAAACGTGATGCCTGCGACAATAACAAGAATCCACAGGACAATGGGTAGCGCTTCCTTGACTTGCAGACACAAGACATTCTCGAGCTTGCGTTCAGCGGCTGACCGCGCACTTGTGCCCCAACCGACATCCCATAACGACACGAGTGCCCACAGTTTGGCCGGCACGAGTCCGATCAGATAGTAAATCGAGTACATTGGGAACGCCAAGAAGCGGAGCGAACGTGTGACGATAAACGAATACAAGGTCTTGATGCACGCAATCGCCATCAGTGAGACAAGCCAGACGGCCAAGACAAACGGTGCGTGGGCCCACAGAATGTAAAAGATCGAAAACAGGAGCACAAACGGGTACACGCCTTGGTAAAACAGTTCGGCTGCCATCCATGGACTGTGCTTGTGCAGACACCGGGCGTTCCAGATGAGCTCCCGGTAGAAACTTTTGGACCAGCGCGTCTGTTGCTTGAACCAACGCAAAAAGTTGATCGGTGTTTCAGTCTCGCAAAACGCATAGTGGGTGTATACCACACGATATCCACGCATCAAAACTCGGTTGGTGAGATGTCTAATAAGCGTTTAGTGTGCCCCCACATGGAGTTAGTAAGAATTACTGGACTGGCGTGACGAGCTTAAGCTTACCGATCATCGCCATACGTGCATTCCATGCCAAGGAAACGTTGCTTGATCCAATCATCCAGCACTTGGGCCAAAACATTGGTTCGATAAAGGCCCATAGGTCCCGAGACACATGTCACACATCGATTAAAACTCTGAGCAGCCCGCTCGATATTGAACGCCATCCAGTATCGCAAAGATGACATGAAACTCAACAGACTGTCACTCGAATTCCAGATGCGTACATCGCCTGCCGCCGCGCCCGTCTTGGGATGCCAGTACAGCGCCCGCTCGAGCTCGATCAGTGCTTGTGGGTCAAACCGGGTATCCGAGTCTGTGGACATGACTGCATCGCATCCCGCTGCCATCAGAACTCTGAACGCAGTGTACATGGCATGCCGCTTGCCGCGGTGCGGCTGGAGATAGCACACCGCGCGGGTATCGGTAGGTAGAATGACCCGTTCACCATAGAGTGCTGGGCTGCTACTCCTATTACTACTACTGCTGCTGCTGCTGCTACTTGCTTTGGATGCTTGTTGGTGTTGTGGTTGGGATTGTTGATGGGAGGGTAATGGCATCGCTATCGTTGCTGCTGCTGCTGCTGCTGCTGCTGGCTTTTCATTATTGAGTATTGTCTCGTCGATTTCGCTCATCGTGTTGTTCGTGTCTTGATCTGATAGCAAGTGGGGCAATACCACAACGGGGTTGTTGGGAAAAGCCTTTTCGAAAATGGCAGCCATTTCATGATCTTGCGGATCCTTTCCATCTATCACGACAACAATTTTGAACGGGTCCGGATATTCCATTCGCTGTATCGATTCCAAGCATTGGGCAAAGAGCATTGGCTCTTCACGATATCCAACGACAGCCAATCCAACCTTGGTTGCTTTGCGTGTTTGCTGCTGCTGAGGATATTCTTCTTGTTTGCGTGCAGATACAGGTGATGGTGATCGTTTGCGGTAGCGGTACAAAAGATATCGATTCAGCGAAGCAAATGTCAATTGTAGCACAATGAAGCAGAACACAACTGTGCCGTATACGCCAAGTGCCCAAAACGATTGTCGTGTCACGTGCAAGTGCAATGCATACCCAACAATGGCTGGGACTACAAACAAGCATGAGATGGTGATTGAGTATAAGATTTTCAGTGGTAACGTCCAGATCATTTCATAGGGAATATATAAATTGGATAAATTATAACAATTATGAGAAATAAAAGAAAACAAAGGGAAAGACAAGCAAATCAAAAGAGGTCATTTCTCTTGCTACTGGTAATTGCTGTCCGAGTGAGGTGTAAGGCACAATGTATTCGCCTCGCTTGATTTCATGTTTCTTTCCTATCTTTTCTTTCTATCTTTTCTTTATCGTCATATATTGCATACGTTTTTTAGGAAAATAACTAAGAGTTATATAACATAGCTATTGTATATAATCAAGCATTTTATTTACTACATGCTGGTAAAGATCAAAGTTGCACAAATACTACAAGTATCAACATTCAAGTTTTGCGTAGCAGCAAAAATTGCAGCATAAAAAAAAAAGTGTAACCAACCTAGGGCAATTAATTGCGGGGTTCCTCGGGGACTTCGTAGTATTTGGTAAGTCACTAACTGTTACACTGCTGTTGCCGAATATAAGCTCGGCTATCCAAATCAGCTCGCCGGATCGGTTCGGGGATACGGAACTTGCAACTGGCAAGGACAATCCGTAGCGCCATGTCAAGGCTGACACGATGCCCCTGACTCACAAAGATTGGGTTTGGAGCAGCGTCGGTAGTACGTAATGCTGCGCCGTACATGATGTGTGTGTCACCTCCTTGAAGCAGCAGACGATCGCCCCGCTTTTTGAGCTGTGTACGACACTGCTGCTTAACATGACTCATGGTGAGTTCTGCGCCGTCTGTGATCACGAGAAAGTTTTTGGCTACGCCTATCGTGGGTGTATTAGCAAGCACGCCTAAATGGCAAGCAATACCGCAGGTGCGTGGATGAAGACGACCGTTGCCGTCAACAAGGATTACTTGTGGGTATAGTTCTGCGTGTTCCTTTTGGAGTTGCTTGAGTAGCTTTAGCAATGGATCAACTTCACGGAACGCTAGGTAGCCTGCAATGTAAGGAAGGTGGAGTTCTGTTTCCAAATAAGACGTATGAACTACCTGTTCATATTGTCCATATATTTTTATTTTTTGGTAAGCAAAGAAAAAACAATTATTATGCATGCAAATTATAGTATTAATAATACCTCAAGACTGGGCCATGAGAGAATGGAGAGACATGCAAGTGCATGCTCAAAGTCGTTCTCTGGGAAGCTTAAATCGACACCGCCAATGTATTTTAAGCCATCTAGCGTTTTGGGATCAAAATCAAGATTTTCGTCATTTAAGCTAATGCGTGCACTTAACGCAATCTGCTCACTATCACACAATCAGCAGAAAAAGGGTTTAGAGAGAGAGTAAAGAGTCAAGTCGCCGGGGGGTGTAAGTTTAGTGAGGCTCCATACTTTTGCCATAATTCTCGTTGAGCTTTAGAAGGGTCGTGATCAAAAGAAGATACCATGGTTGGTTGATGTTCTCCAGCTTCCTCCTCTCGATTTGCGCCTCTTTTATTTTTAAACAGAAACACGAAAATGCTGCGCCCCATCTTATCACAGACGTGGCTTGTGGCAGTCTCACGTCCGTGCTCAATCTGTCAAGGAAGACACTTTCAACCTCTTTTCTACATGCTACATGCTTGTTATAATTACTGTTAGCTGCCATGCTGGTAGTGCCCGCTTCTGCAGCCTGAAAAACTAGTTTTCCTATCGTTACCCAATTGAGAGAGAGCATGACGCACATATATTGCTAGTGATGATAGTTGATATGACAACGTACGAATTTCCTATTATTTTCAGCCCTACCCAAAAAGATTATAGGGTTCTGTGATATCGGTAAGATTGTCCAAAAGATCAGGAGAAGGGTAAAAGAATACACGCACACCATTGTGACCTACACAGGTTGTTGATAGGTCAGAGAGAAAATAAAAGAACAGTGAGAGCCCGATATGACATGATTTAATTGAATGAAATCACAACCTTTAATATACTAAAGTGTTGGAAGAATATGCTGAGAAAAAAGTGGTCGTCACTGTAGTAGAGTCACACAGTCAGGCACTACTTTAGAAATAATACTATATATGCTAGATAAATGGATGTAGGTGACGGCAATAAACACAGCACATCAAACTGCAGAGCAACTGGCTCGACAAGCAGACGATTATGATAACTTTAAAAAAACACTACAAGAGTACTGTTTGTTGTTGAATCATACTGAACGTTTGATCGACCTACATCATCCAGTCCTGCTTTACATCAAAGAGCTTGGGTATTAATGTTATAATAAACCTTTTCAATAACAGCGACAGCTCCCAAAGCCCAAATAATGGCATTTGGTCAAGAAGAATGACAGAAACTGAAATAACGTCATTACAGCAAGATGAAGTTTAGAGGATATATACCCGAACAAGTCGTGGATAAAAGTCGAAACTTCATGTATGAATTTCAATGCTTACATCAGATTACAAGTTCTCTTATACCAAGGCTATTTTTAGCTTACAAAAAGCAACGTCGAGCAGGTCTACAAATTCATGGCTGGCCCAACAAGATAATTCTATCAAATTCAAGCACACACACGTAGATACGCTTAGTATTTTGCATTTTTATTATACCTAGTGGAGTACATATGTAACGGCATTCGCTAACATTTGACTTTTGGTCGGAAAAGATACGATACTTACCAATGAATGAAACCAGAAAAGGTTCACCGAGCAAGGCTACACTGCCAAAGTCTGAACACCAACTTGCGAGGCTAATTAACGCATTTCAATCCTCATCATGAAATGGTGTTGTTGCGTTTCAACTATGAAGTGGAGATAGAAAGAGATAATAGCACGAAGCTGAAAATACACCTGCCAAAGGGGATATATTAAGCAAGAGCAAGGACAAATCTTCAGGTCTCAATGCGTGGAAAAAAAGGGTAATGGCTTCAGCCCTTATTAATATGAGAAGAAGAGTGTTAGGGCTTTGACACTTTACAAGGTGTGAGCATGTTAATGGATGATGTCAAGTTTAATTTTCCGTGTATGCTTGATAGTTTTGGATGTAGAAGAAAACATTTTGGTTAATGTAAGGTTCGGGTTTCAATAGTGGAGGGAATGAAGGAAAATATTAATGTATATAAAGAAGTATACATAGGCTTACCATCCACACTCCGAGCGATCGGCACTCCTGCTCCTAGCTAGCACCTTCCGTTTTTTGTGTTGTTGATCTTGGTGAGCGGCTTGAAATGATCGCTTGTCGATAAAGTAGCGCTAGTAACAGCGCTCTATGAAATGTAGAGTGATGCTGGTGGCAGTGATTGATGATGGGCTGTGGTTGCGTTCTCGTTATTGAAGGGTGCTCCATCGCTCTTGTAGAACCCAGTCTCCATGTTGCGCTTCAAAGCAATCCCTCGAACTCTTTGTTTTGCGGCAGAGAAAACAAAGTGGGATTTGTTAACTTGGACGCATATATGGCATGAAGGTGACGGAGAACGATCCGCCCTATGTTGATGGAGCAGGACGCGATTGGGTATACGGTGTGATAGAAGACACCACCACGTCGTCCGCGTGTAATGTGGAATATGTGCGAGCTAGCTAAACCAAGCCTATTTGAATCTTCATGTAGGCGGTCAGATGATGGGGGTGGATATTACATAGGGGAGCAGATCTCTGTGACAATTTTACAGCATTCGGCGTAACAGTGTATAATCCAGCTTCTAACTCTCCTCTGCTATAGAGCACTCGCAGCGATGCTTGTAACAAAACTTGTAAATTTAAGCACTTGTAAAATCCTTGTAGTACTACAATACCGGACTTTCGCAACGGCTATTGTTATTTACAAGCTCACAGATTTCCTGTTAACTTTACAAGCTTCCATATGATAGTAAAATTTACAAGTCCTCAATTTAACAGCTGGGTTTACAAGAACCGTTGTGAGAACAGACTGGTAAATAAAGTTAACAGCCCATTTACAAGCAACGCTGCGAGTGCTCTAACTAGCAATATATATGATTGACGATGAAATCAATAAGGGAATGTAGAGCTTCAAAACCTTAAGTGCTTCCAATAAGGATTTGAGTCTACATACTGGCCGTCTTTTAAATGATATAAAAGATGGACATGAGTACACATTCAAGTAGCAAAGCATTGCATGAGCATGATAAATTCTACCCAGCAATAAACTTCGCTGATTTTTGTAATCGGCACCTGTTTTGGAAGGAAAGCTGCTGCTATTGTGCCTTCAGATGAGCACTACTTAAAGAACTCGAAAGAAGTAGCGATTTACTATCTTGACGGGTGCGCTTTTGGTTTTTTGGGTTGCCTGTGTGTCTGTCCGTGAATCGATGCCATATTGTTTATGCAGCGATTGTGTTGAGCAAGTAGAAACTATTCTTCAAGTAGAAGTAGCGCTCAGATAGCCTTTGCGTCTGTTCAAGACATACACATTCTGTGGTCAGGCCTCCGCGTCATCTATATTATTAACTTTTTGTAATCAAACCATTATTCCACTACTGTTGCTTTTGAGAACGAGTGTGTTTCTCTATTTAACATATTTATCATATCAAGTAATATTGTTCATTTTACTGCTTATTCAGGCCCCACATTTTTTGTGGAAATTTCGGCGGGGTTAAAGCTACTGGGGTAGACTCTCATCCAATGATATTAAAAGTTAAGCAACTGCTCTCTGGGTGCAAAGTGTGAGGGTAGCCAATGAGATAACAAGTTAACGGGGGTTGTTACGTGTGCCGATATCTTGTGTTGCTTCTGTGTAGCGCTTGTGTGTGGGTATATCAGTTGGCGTTTTGATTGTTCCTGTCAACCATTGCACTTTTACACTGGTCTTTCGTCTTGTAATTTTTTCCCACTCTATCACCTCCGCCATAACGTATTTGACAAAAAATGGGTGATCCTACTTCTCGGTCAGATGGAAAACGTCGTCGCGGTAGACCTCTAGGTAGCAAAAATAACAAGCAGAAATCCTCCTCGGCTCGCGCTCGCGGTCAGACGAGCTTGATGCAATACGTTCCTTCGTGCTACCTTTCTTCAGAACAACGCGACACAACAAGCGCTGAGGCCACAGCCTCACCACCCGATATCAATGAGCAGCCAAGCTGTGAAGTTTCCTCCCAACAGGTTGTATCCGGAAAGGGCCACCACATACATATACTTATTGTATCGATTATATAGGCTCGTGTGGATGACGATAACTATACTTTAAAGGACTTGATCGACGAATTAGAGGAAGAAAATCATACTAATTGTGATACTGGCGTGGAAAACGAGGAAGATCCCATCCCTGACGAAGCACAAACACTCAATGATGACGACAGAGGATACAAAGAAAAAAGTTTCGGAGTGCTCGCCCAGTATTTCTTAAGTATCCAAGATCGTATCAAGACCAAAGATGGTGGTTTTCCAAGGGAATACAAGAATGGAACTTTTTGGATTGAGCCAAAGTCGCCTTATTTTGCATTACGAGACGAAAGTATATTAAATCCCAAGCCATTGTACTTTCCTCGTGTATTTCTATGGTTCCCTCATTAATTGGTTGATCGATTGTACTGCCGCGATTCGAGGTGCTACAATGAGGCGGACGCAAATACCTTTAAAAGAAGCAAACTTGAAGATAAAGGCTTCTACAAGGATCCTTATGCACGTCGAGTGGTGGACATGAACAGGTATGAATTATTAGCAGCAACAATCATGACAAGCCTTTAACAGCGAACTATGTGTTTGAAAGATGCTTTTATATTATGTCAAGACGATATGAATGCAAAACCTGTCATGCCTCATTGGGTGCACACGATGAAAAAAATTTGAAACAGCTGCCCGACGAACTAGCAGCAGAATTTCCCGCCATTTTTTCCTATCGGTGTGCTATCTCTAAGGATCTCATTGACATTTTACGACCATGTATGTAGCACGGTATGGGAGTTGCAAACTTTCAAGATATGCTACAGGAGCTGCACCTCAAACGCCATATCCGACTGCATATCATATACACCCTATATCAAATACATCGTCGAACGAACCCAACTTACAAGGAGACCGAAAATCGCATCAGAAGCTACCCTGAGTTCTCGACATTCAAGGATTCTCAAGGATACGCTGGATACGTTCCTTCTATACCATATTTTCGACTCATATACAATGCTATCATGGATGTTCTTCGGCCAATTATGGACAAGCAGATGGTTACTATTGATGGAGAGATACTCAAGGGAGACCACACATTCAAGTTTTTGAAGAAAGTTGCAAAAATGGGTGACGCACCGACTTTTGGCGCTCTATATACTATATGTAACGAGTATGATGAGATACGAATGCAATTGCTAGTCCCCACCAAGTCATTATCGCATTTACAGACGCCTTTTCAGGAAATGATGAAAACATACGACATGTACGGGTATAAACCACCGCAGCTATTTTTTACTGACAACGTCCGGGGAGACAAGGCGTTCCTACTTGATAATATCAGCTCA